CAGCTAACTGCCTGGGGCTATACTCTTCTAGGGTTGGTGTGTAGAGAGAGAGAATGGAATGGGGCAGGAGCTGTCTTACTTGAACCGGCCCAACATTAAATTGGCTTCCACTTCTCTGGGCCTGAAGGATGATTCAGCCTGCCTTTCAGAAGGTATCCTGGTGATTTCTGGATGTGTTATTTTCTCATTTCTTCATTCTCATAAGCTCTCACTCTATTTCTGGATTCACTATAAATTTGTCCATTTTATTGATTGCTACAAAAAACACACTTTGGGACTTACTTCTTTGAGTCTATTGTATCTTTTTCTTCCTATCTCTCTAAACGAGTCAATGTTGCATTTAGAACCCTGCTCGACTACATATATGCCATATAAGTGATAACTCTTATAACCTACTAGGAAGTGAACTGCGCTAGGGTCCATTTTGTTCAATGCTATGTTCTCAGTGCATAGCACAGTTTCTGGGATAATGAAATAAATGTCGCTGTTTATCTTTTGCGCCTTCCTTCTTTTCTGTTGTTTCTCCCACTTCTTGAGGAGAATATGTAGTTCACTGATTGTCATTCTTTCTTCAATCTAAAATAAAAAAGCATTTATGTCTTTAAGTTTCTCTGAATGCACAGATTTTGCTTCACTCCACAATTTTAATAGGTATATTTTCTTTCTTGTTCAGTTCTAAGCATATTTTAGTTCTCATTATTATTTTTTACAAAGATGTTATTTATAACTGTGTTTTTGAATTTCCAGATTGGGGGGGGTATTTTTATCTTTTATTATAGATTTATAACCTAATTGTGTTGTGGTCAGAGAATATATTGATAATACCACATTTTTCTCAGTCTGTTGAGCCTTACTTTATGATATGCTAGGTATGTGAATTTCTTTTACCTCTTCGATGCATGTTAGAGAAGAGTATGCATTCTCTGCTTGTTGAATGCAGAGTTCTGTAAACGCCCACTTTGTTTTCAAACTTTTGTTCTCAGGACCTCCGTACATTTTTAAAAATATATTGAGGACTCTAGAGATCTTTGTTTTTAAATGTGGGTTATATCTAACAATATTTACCATATTAGAAATTAAAACTGAGACATTTAAAAATATGTAATGTTATTTAAAATTAACAACAAAACCATTATACACCGTCAAGAAATAACAATTATAAAAAATTTGATTTTTATTTCTAGATTTGTTTTTACCTCATGTATTTTACACAAAGCAATATAAAAACGAATGGTATTTTCTGGATTTATTTTTCCTCAACACCACTGAGATCTGCAGGCCAGTGCAACAGCGTCACCTGGGAACTTGTGAGAAATGCTAATCCAGACCTACTGGCTCAGATTCTGTACGGAGTGGTCGGAAACTGTGTTTTATCAAGTTCTCTAGGTAACTGATGGTTAGTACAGTTTGAGAAGCACTGCTTAACACTTTATAATGATCATCTTTCCATTAAAAAAAAATTACATAGCTTTATTTATTTTTGTTTTTAAACTTTTGTTAGAGTCCATATACAGAAAAGTACAAAACCATAAGGGCAGAGCTCAATGCATTTTCACAAACTCAACAAATCTGTGTAACCAGCACTTAGGTCAAGAAACAAAACATTACCTGTACCCCTGACTTTTAACACTATGGATTAATTTGCCTGTGTTTGAGTTTATGTACATAAAATCATACAGTGAGTACCTTTCTTTGGTTTCTCGCTTCTTTTGCTCAAAATTTTGTTCATGATATGCATCCATGTAGTTCCCAATAGTTCATTCATTCTCACTGCTATATAGTATTCTTCTATAAGAACACAGCATGACTTATCCAGTCTACTAAGACATTTGAGTTTAGTTTTTCACAATTACCAACAGACCTGCTATAGACATCCTTAAACATGCCTTTTGGTCAGGATGTGTACGCGTGATATACAAGGCATATATATGTATAATATGTAGTTCATTTAAAAGGTTTTTTAAAATATTGTTACATTTACTACAGAACTTTCTAAATCTCAAGGAAATTCATAACCACTAGAGACAGATAAGCAGGAAAAACACAACTTTTTCGTTAGTTAAAACTGTATTCCATATTGTACTATGAACTTACTAAACATAAGTTTTAGCATACGTAAATTTAGCCTTTTTCTATTCAAAAACTCTAAAAAATTTGTTTTGGTTATCATTTTCAGATTAATGCTTTATTTTGATCATTTTCATATTGTCTAGGTCAGTGGCGTGCAATGGAAATACAATGTAAGCCACAAGTGTAATTTTAAATTTTCTAGGAGTCACATTGAAAAATAAAAATAAACAGGTTAAATTAATTTTAATATATTTTAACTCATATCTAAAATATTATAATTTCAACATATAATCAACATAAAAATATTGAGAAATTTTACATTCTCTTTTATATGTCTTCAAAATCCAAGGCATATTTTACATTTATAGTATATAACATTTCAGATTCCAAAATTTCATCAGAAATATTCATTATTTAGATTTCATAAAATTTACAGTCAAGGGTCCGGCCCTGTGGTGTAGTGGTTAAGTGTGCACGCTCTGCTGCTGGCGGCCCGGGTTAGGATCCCGGGTGCGCACCCACGCACTGCTTGTCAGGCCATGCTGTGGCGGCTTCCCACCTAAAGTGGAGGAAGATGGGCCAGATGTTAGCTCAGGGCCAGTCTTCCTCAGCAAAAAGAGGAGGATCAGCATGGATGTTAGCTCAGGGCTGATCTCCTCAAAAAAAAAAAAAAAAAAAATTTACAGTTGAAAAAGTAGAGTCACATAATCAGGTTTTTCCAGCCATACTTAAAGTTTTCCAATAAATGAATCAAGTATCAGTTTTAACATTTAAGTTTATTAAAATTAAATTAGATATTGTTACTCAATCACATTAGCCACATCTCCAGAGCTCAACAGCCACCTGTGGCTGGTGGTTCCACTATTCAAAAGCTTAGGTCTAGGTCAAGCATGGTTTAGGCTGTCCTCCACATGCCAACTGAAGCTGTGATGCAAATTCTAGAAGATTATTCACATGCTGTGGAAGATGGAGAATTTTGAAATAAATGAGAATGATAATTTTTTTAGTCTACTTATTTTTTGGGGATATCTTTGCACTTTTCTTTCAATTTTGCTGTGAACTTAAAACTGCTCTTAAAAAAATATGGCTTTTTTAAAAGAAAATGTAACATAGAAGATTTTTGCTAAAATAGCAAACATGCTGATGGTAATAACATTCAATCTAACTGATGATGAAGATTATTTTACAAAAGGTACAAGGGATGGAAACAGCACGGCTGGTTCAGCAGGGAACTGTCACTAGTGGAGCACAGTTAGGGGAGGATGGAACTAAAGGAGAGAAGTTGGAGAAAACAATAGATGATGACTGTACTTGCTCATAGTACAGACCTGATTTTATTCTGTATTCTAGGGTGTAGGATTAAAGTTTAAAGTAATCTGTTTTGATTTGTATTTTTGAAACAACAATCTAGCAAGTGATGGGCACAATGGCTTGGGGTGAAACTAGAGGCTACGAATCCAGTTGGGAGGCTATTTCAATTATCCAAGCAAGAGAAGATGAGAACCTGACCCGGGAGTAACGGAGATGGAGAAAATGGGGACAGATTCAAGAGATATTTAGGCAATAAAAGCAGCAAGATGTGACCACTTGGATAAAATATGAGGTTGGCAAGTACCTAGCATAACTCTCCTGGAAACTGACTGCTCAAACATTTGTACCATTAGCCAAAATAGAATGACTGAAAAAGAAGATAGAGAAGAGGGCAGGAGATAATTTTAGGGCAGAAAGAAATCCTGCCAGGCAGTGTAGTGTTACAGAAAGAACACAAGCTCTGCAGTCTGAGCCTTTGTTTCAAATAGCAACTCCATCATTTTTGGTTATTAAGCAAATTACCTTCTCCGAGGCCCAGGATCCTAATCTATAATATTTCCTACTTTGAGAACTTTTATGAGGATTAAATATTTATGTATGTGAAGCTCTTAGAATAAGCCAGATAATTAAAAAATATATTTGAATCTGCTGAAGGCCTGCACTGGTACTATGCCATATGCATAAAAAGGATGAAACCTGTAGCTTGCTCAATCAGATTATAATTTAATCTTCTAGTCATTAGGAATAGCAATGTTTTGAGATTTCTGCCTGTTGGAATTTTGAACCTAAGGTGAACTGGCTGACATCATAATCCGTTTCCGTTCTCATAACACACGTTCAATAATTGACTTAATCTAAATCTTCTGATATTTTATGTCCCATAAAAATTTCATCTAAGTCAGATGTAGTGACTGCTGCAGGAACCATCGTATAAAACTATTGCTTTTATAAATCATTTTTGTTGCATAGAAGAACAAACAGCAATATAAGTATTTTATAATATTTTACTTATTTCAAAAATAATCAAAAAACAGAGGAACAAATAAACAAAAAAATTATATCCTATGATCAACTTCATTTTTTCAGGTTTCAACAGAAACAAATTTTAAGCAGGGACTCCTTTAGTTGGCAAAACTGCATTTATGGGTCTTACTACTATAAGACCGATCTCCCATTTTGCAAACAGGTTCAAAGAAGATTCCAAATTCATTTGGGAAATATATGGAGGGTCACACAGCAATCCACAGCCTTCCATCTTTCTACCAGTGCTAACTCCCACCTCTTTTCACGAATTGGATCGCTCACTGCACAGGAGCAGCAAGTGAAAGAGCTGGCAGAATTCAACCTCAGGCAGCGTTGTCCGAGACGAAGTCGTTTTCCAAGTTTAGCTAGTATTTAACTTCCGGGAAACGCCCCCCAACCCACACAGCCTGCCCCGCCCCCACCGAAAAGCACCCCCTCGCTAGGTTCCCACGCTGCCGGAGGCAACAGAGAGCGCAAAGGGTTCCAGAATGCGACTGCGCGTGCGCCGCAGTTCCGCGCATGCGCCGTAGTCCCGCGCATGCTCAGAGGCGGAGGCCGGCCGGGTCCTGGGAGGGTACCGGAGGCCGGCCTGCCCCGCCCCCGCCCTCAGCGCGGAGCTTCCGTTCCGCGCCCGCACCGGCGCGCTTCCCTTTCCGAGAGCGCAGGCGGCGGCCGCCGGTGTCTCTCTCCTCTCCGCCAAGTCGGCTCTGACCGCTCCCCTGCGGCGAGCATGGCAGCTTGGAAAGGCGGGGCTGCCCTGCGGCTCTGCGCCACAGGTAAAGGCCGCGCGGGCCATGGGGCGGGCGCGGGGACCCTTCCCCGGAGGGATCGGGCCTGGGCAGGGGTCTGCGGCCCCGCTGGGGCGAGGCTGCGGGCTCTGCCCCAGTGCTCCTCCGCTCCCGGGCCCGCCTAACTGAGCGGACGCCTTAGGGTCCTTCCCCCACCCGCTCTGCGGGGACCCGGGCCCGCCGCCGGGAAGATGCGGCTGGCTTCCGTTCCTTCTTTGCTGAGAGTGGCAGGAAGTTTCAGGAGCGCTGACTCCATTGATCGGCGTGAAGGGTGATGCCGCCTTCCCAGCTTGTGGCCAAACCTTGCTCTGGCTTTAGCTTCCGAGTTTTGTCACGTCTGAAGAATTTTTACCCCCAAGAGGGATGGCCGAGGACAGAGAGATCACGGTCAGGTCGCCGGGGTTGTGCGGTGTGAGAAGTGATCTGAGGGCGTGGTGGCTTTTCTCAGCCTCCTCCTGCCAGCTTGGGGCACCGTGGTCCTCACTGTGGTGTGTTCACTCACTCAGCCACTGTTTACTTCCCGCTACGTGCCAGACCCTCTTCTGTAATAAGTGTTAGAGGTGGAGCTCAATTTTGTTTCTCTCAGTCAATTTGGGGGGAAAAAAACCTAATAGTATTTTGAATGGCATTTGGAGTTTATACTGAGGCGGTAATTGCTACTAGAGAAAAAGGAGAATATAGAAGAACGATTTCTATTTCTACTCCAAAAAGATGGAATGGTAAACAGGAAAAATTAGGAGGAGAGAAAAAATATATTTGAAAGGAACTTCTATGTCTTAGACTTACCAGCCTACATAGAACTTGCCTGTCACAATGGTTGCATGCAGAGTAAATGTTGATTCAATGGATGAACTCCTTATGCTTGCATCGTTTGTGCTCTGGGATGAATCAGTGATGCATTTTTTGTTAGGTTGTAAAAAATCAAAAAACATTTTATGGGTGACTGAGCGTATAGTACAAGCCAAATGATAAATCAGCACTTAATTGTGTTGTGTATATTTTGTCTTTTTCTTTTCTTTTCCAGTTGTTTTACTTGATATGGCTTTCTGTAAAGGATTTGTAGAAGATTTAGATGAATCGTGAGTATACATATTTTTAAATAGTATATTCTTTCAACTCTAATGTTATCTGAATATTTGCTTAAATATAATCTTTTAATAATAGAGACAGTAATGACCAGTGCTGACAGCACTCATTTTGTGGCAGGAGCTGCCCTCAGTGCTATGTAAGGACAAAATGGGGTTATGCTCAGAGTTTTACTAGCAGTTTTAAGATCAAAAAACTGTGGCATACTCTTCTATATTCTATTTTATCATTTAACTGTGTACTTGTTATGTTTTTCTGCTTTAGTCACTACTGAGTGGGTGCTGAAATTCTGTAACCACACTATATATTTATCTTTTCAGTACCACAGCATTAATCACAAGGCCTTGCTTATAGACCAGATTCCTATGTGTGATCTTTCAGTCCTGACCAAAGGCAATTACAAGGCTTTTTCTAGCAGGCCTCAAGGGAGAAGCTGCCATCCCCACATCAGACTTGGTGCACTGTAGTCTCTGGAGAGAGTTGTAGTCATAGACTCAGGCCCCCTGGGCCAGCCATGCTCATGGATGTCTGCATTCCTAACCTCGTTGCCCTTTTGGAGGCCTCCTTACTGGGCACCTTACCTAAGGTATTTCCTAGGCTCCTCTGCTGAGACCTCCTAATTGAGGGGCTCGGCTGAGGCGCTCTTCTCCACTTGGACTCAGTACCTTTCCACTCCTATCCCTTTTCCTTCTCCCTCCCTCTGCCCATGGGTCCATAAAGAGGCAGCAGCCTCTGATTCAGTGCTCCTCAGCAGTGGGATGAATTCCTCGGTCTGTACTGCCTTCATCTGACACTTGGCTGTGGCTGTTCCACTTTGAAAAATGGAACGCCAAGGAGCTGGTGCCTTTTTTTGCCTCTTGGCTTGCATCGTCACAGTAAGTGATAAAAGGCTTGATGGTTCCTTTTAGTTAGACTGTTGTCCTAATTAACCACCTCTACACAACAAAATTGATGCAGCAGCAAGGTGGTCACTTGAGCACAGTGCTGTTCTGGAAGAGCAAAAAGCCTGCGAGTCCCGTGGGGCACTGCACCAGCCAAGTACTAATGGGTACTGGGGAGTGCTAGCGGGTTATTTGCAGAAACTCTTTGATTCCAAAGAGAACATTGTTAACACAGAGGTAATCTTGTTAAACTTAGTGGTACCTTGAGGCGTGTGACACTACAGACCTCCTCCTTTAGCATGCCCTAACGGCGTGAGGCATGACTTTGTCTGAGGAGGAGGAGGAAGGGGGAGAGCAAGTGCAGACACCCAAGACCCTCACCTTCCTCAGCTGGGTGCTGTGTGGACTCTGACAGGTTTGATCCACCCATGATGAGTTTCCTGTCACCAAATAACATATCTGGCCCCCCCTCACAGAGGCTGTAGTGGCCCTGCAGCCATCCTGGTGATCCTTGGGTATACAGTGCGGGATTAGGAACGGTGGATAATGAGACTATTAACCAGACTGAGATTTCTAGGTTTGTCCTTGCTGGTCCTGCTTTTTACCAGATTGAGTTAAGCCTCCTCATGAAGTCAGGTCATTTGGTCTGTGACACAATTCAGGTCTCAACTGACAAATTTCCAGGCATGGAAAAAGCAGCCACCACCAAGATAGCAAAGATTGACCGACACAAAGAGTGACAATAAGAGTGAGAACTGGGCACCCTCTCCTGGGCGACCCATGCAAAAGCCTTTCCGAAAAGATCTCCAGGTCTGATTACTCAATAATGGGGTCTCAAAGGAGAAGATTAATAGGCTGTTCACCAACGACCTCATGGCCAGGTACCAAGCATGTGGGGTCTGATGGTGGTTCTGCTACAGTCAGCACGATGACAGCCCTGTGAGTATTATAAGTACTGTCCCCTCCATTCTACCCAGTGAGTCTGGAGAAGAGTCGGAGAGCCCCGAAACCTTTACCCAGACCTTGACAATGTGTTAAGTTGAGGCCCCTCTGTCCACACTGGGGGCTGGAGATCCTGTGCCAAGGTCAGAGTTTGTTGGAGAGGTGGGGAAGGATTGCACTTCTTGGGCCTTTTGCATATCAGTGCACAGATGAGTGTGATCCCTACAGTCCCTGCTACCAGCATGAGGAGGATACATGTAATACTCTCTGGTTTTGAGTTTGTGACAACCAATACCAGCACCCTGGCCATGGCCTGGCTCTGGGTGAGTACTTTTCGGGCCCCTACTACTGAATATGTTATTAGTATAGAGGTTTTATCCATGTGCATTCTCGGTCACCTTTGTCCCCAAGCCCCAATGGGAATTGCTACAGTTAGGGCCATCTTAGTGGAGCGTGGAGAAGACTTAACCTACCAGACTACCAGCTCCTAGTGCCATTGCCTCCCCAAACAATATTGGCTGCCTGGTGAGTAAAAGAAATAACTGCCCTAATTGCTGAGCTGGAGGAAGCCATAATGCTCTGTGAGACTGTTTCTCCATTCAGTAGCACCATCTGGCCTGTGCACAAGGCCTTGGGTACCTGGAGACTCACCATTGATTATAGGTAGCTCAGTACCATAGTGCCACCCTTGACACTGGTGGTACCTGACGTCGGGAAGATGCTGCTGGAGGAAGCATGGTCTGCAACATTTGATATTGCAAATGCCTTTTCTAGCATCCCTCTCTACTGGGCCAATCAGGATCAGTTTCCTTCCTGTGGAATGGATTCCAGCACACCTTTAATGTCCTTCTACAAGGCTATCTAAATTCCCCACGTATCTGCTATATATGAGTAGGCCATGACCTGGAAAAGCTCCTCCTAGAGGGAGCACTGGCCTTCCACTGTGTTGATAATAACCTCCTAAAGGGCCTAGGCAAGGGCACTGCCCAACAAGGACTGGACACCATAGTGACTCACAAGTGGTAACATGGCTGGGCTGTTAATACAGACAAGGGACAAGAACCTGTACTCAACTGAAATTTCTGGGTGTAATCTGGGAAGCAGTATAACATTTCATTCCAGAGAAGATCATTTCCAAACTTTTGGCCCTTCTGACCCCCCCCTCACCAAAAAAAAGAGGCCCAGGAGTTGATGGGCCTCTTTGGCTGCTGATGCTCTTATAACCTATGCAGGGATCTTGATGGTACCCATCTGCTGGGTTACCAGAAAGGCCACTGCCTTTGAGTAGGGCCCTAACCACCAGGCATCCCCTCTCCTGCGCCCCAGTGATCCACATCTCTCATTTGAGGTACATGTCTCAGAAACCTCTCAGTTCACTGGAGCCCATGGTAGAAGGACAACACCACAGGCCAGCATGGACCTGTAAGCTCCCCGAGTTGGCTGCGAGATAACCTGCCCTTTGAGAGGCAGTTATTGATTTGTTGGGCCTTGGTGGATGAGGGCAGTAGGAGGCTCAAGAGCAGAAATTCCAGTCGTGTTGCTGAATAGCGACAGCTCTGGAATCTCTAGTGAAGTGGAAATGGCACATACAGTAGCCCAGCTGGAATCTCACAGCTCCATGAAAACGTCTCATGAGTGCCCCTCCACCTCCCAGGAATAACACCCAAGGAGCCACTGCTTCCTCTGGCCCACTGGGGACCCAGATGTAGAGACCTCTCGGACCACCCATGGGCCTGGTTCACTGATGGCTCCTCCTGGTTAACTTGTACTGGGATGGAATTGGGTGTGGCTGCCTTCCAACCTGAAGGAGGCCTGTCCTTCACCAGGCATGGTAAAGGGCGTTTGCGCAATAGGCAGTTTCATGCAGTGTGGAAGACTGTAAGATTATCTGCCTCACTGTTCCCCTGCCTCCTGCTCCTCGCTCCAGCCCCAGTGAATGAGCCCTGCTATATTTTTGCTGACTCATGAGCTGTGGCTAATGGCTTGGTTATTTGGTTGTGTGGCATATAAAACAGGATCCTGGTGAAGACGAGACATTTGGATAAAAGATTGGTTCTCCTTCTAATAAGCGTTTTGTTGTGTATATGGATACTCACCAGAAAGGCCCCTTTGCTGACAAGGGAACATCACCATTGAGCATGCCATACTTGTCAGCTAAATGGGGAAACTGAATTGTTCTTCATCCCAGAGCAGTCAGATGTGCAACTAATTGCCTCCTGGATCCACAAGAGGATGGCCCATGAAAATTCAGATACCATCCTAGATTGGGCTGGCATGCTCGGACTGCCACTGTTACTTCATGTCAATGGACCAGGGCGTTCTCATGAGATAGAACATGTTGGACCCCTGATTCCATCCATATTGTTCCCCTGGATCATGATTGCATTGACACTGTCTCTGGATTTGGTCTAGCCGTCCCCATGCATTCCACTGACTCAGGCCACATTATCCAGGCCCTACAAGACCATATTTGTTTCCTGTTCGTTTTCCCTGAGAACACTGCATCTGATAACAGCCCTGGATTTTGCGGCCCAGGCTACACATCAGTGGGCCCAGTCACGGGGCATACAATAGACTCTTCGTGCTCCATATCATCCCTAATCCACAGAGGTAGTTGAGCATTTTAATGAACAGTTAAAGGAGAGGCTTAATCAGCTGATGGGTAGCCCCATGGGATGCATATCAGTATATAAAATAAAACTTTTTACTAAACCTCAAGGTGAGCAAAGCCAAAATATTTGAATTTACCAACCTGGGGGATTGAATAAGGGTGCTATCCTTGCCCATGGTACAGGACAGGCTGCATTGCAGGTGGATAGATGTGAACACCATTGGACCTCAGAGCTCAGATATGGGGGATATCCTCTCTTTGTCTTAATTACAGGTTTAAAAATCTTATTAAAATATTCCCATAGAGAACTTTTGTCATTCATCCAGTAGATATTGAATATAGATCACTGTGCAAGACACTAGCCAGATGAAACAAATATACTTCTTCCGTGGATTAGCATATTTGTGGTTGGATAACTACAATGTGTGGAAATTGATAATCATGAAGAGGATAAGGGTGATATGGAGAGATTGACTGCAGCTGTGAAGAATTTAGGAAGATATTATGGAGTGATCCTTTTAGCTGGATAGGATTTGAACTTGAAAGAATGCAGAAAGTCAGATAAACATTGTGAACTTAGCTGTGATAAACATCATAGTCTTGGAAATCATAGGGTGCTCGTATTTGAGTGGAAAGATGTGTTGGAACCAGATACTAAGAGTAGCAATTTGTCCTTTTTTTGTAGGTGGCAAGAGAGGGCCTAGAAGGTGTCAAATGAGAGTGACATGATCAGAACTGTGTTTTAGGAAAATCCTTTGTATTGTGTCAGTGTCCACAAAAGCACCCCCAGGTTTGGTTATTGACTAGGAGTGCTCACAGGAGTCAGCCTATAGTCGAAGTCACAGCTATGATCTATTACAGTGAAAGGACATGAAGCAAAATCAACAAAGGAAATGGCTCATGGGGCAAATTCTGAGGGAAACTGGGAATAAGTTTCCAAGAGTCCTCTCCTAGTAGAGTCATGTAGGATGTGCTTAATTCCTCCATCAGGAGTTGTGACCACATGTGAGGAATGTTATCTCCCAAGGTGTTCATTAGACACTCAGTGCCCAGGGATTTTTGACTGAGGGTTGGTCATGTAAGCACCCTTCTGCCTAGCCTGTACCAAAATTTCCGACTCTCAGAAGGAAAGCACTGTTTGTCACAAAACCACATTGTTTGTACAATGTAGGAACAATGGTGGGAGCCCTCCTAAAATTGGCCCTCCTGGATGCCAAGTGAGGGCCAATTTTGCAAGCAGACCTTTTTAAGGATGGCAGCCTCAGGCTTGCTGTGTTAACTGTACTGCACAGGTGTAAACGGAATAGAGGGGCTAGGAGCTGAGGCGTATATCTGTGTTTCTACCAAGTCCTACTTTAATTTTTTTTTTGATTCTTTATTCCTAACTACTTTATCAGTCCTCTTCTTTTATTACGATGTTTAATGGATAAGATTTAGAGGTCACTGAGTAAAACTTTTACATAAAAATTTATTTAAAGAATTTGTTCTGTGCTTCTGTATTTATCAGTTTATTATCCTCACCTATACTATTCAATTGCAAAGTGGAAATGTACAATCAGAGATTTGTTTTCTTGTTGTTTTTTAGGTTTAAAGACAGTCGAAAAGATGACATTTGGCTTGTAGATGTGAGTATGTAAATTTTTTGTACCAATTAACCACCCCTACCATTCTAAGTGTTATTTTCTATTCTCCACCCCAATATGGTAATATGCGGTTAGTGCTTATGTATATTACTAAATTTGTTTTCTTAGGTAGTACTGTTTGGGTTTTTGTATTAAAATCAACCTCAGAGCTTTAAGGTTCCTGGCAGGGGAACCTGTTTTTGATGAAATTCTGATGAGATCAACTTGCAGTTTATGTCTGAGGGAGATTAAGTATGATTTTATTGCAGAATTCACTCTCATTTTTTCATATTATCCAAGAGATTAAGTATATTAGTATCACTTGGCAGTCAAAATCATATTTTCATCTTAAGAGTGAACAGAATTAAATTTTCATCTTCCTTTCCTCACTTTCAAGTTTGGAATGTATTTAAACCGTGTAATGTTTGGGATTCGTTTTGATGTGCCTCAGTGAAAAACAAGTACAGTGGCAGCAAACGAGAGGGAGTAATAATGGCAGAGCTGACAGTCATTGAAGCCAGGCCATGGGCGTTAGGGCCCATTGTTTAATTCTTTCTCTCTCTTTTTGTGTGTGTTTGAACATTTCCACAGTATAATGTTGAAAAATAGATAAATCTCATTTCATGAAAGTGCGCCAAGCAGTTTGTGACATCATTTAACTAGAGGACCTAAGCACTAAGTCCCCAGTCATCTGATGGTTCTGGAGAAGGAAGAACTGTGGTTTTAATTTAGTCAGCCTGACTTGCCCGTATGCCAAGCCAGGCATCTTAATGATCTCCCGTGTCTTACCAGTGGTGATGCTTGAAGTAGCAAAGGCACCTGCTGTGTTGGAATTTCTGTAATAGAGATAGATGGATGTTGTTCATTAACCCTTAGGGGGTGTGCATATGAGGTGTGTATATGTACTTGGTGGTTTCATTTTATGTGTAGACACACTCACTTGGAAGCAAAGACGTTTTTATTGTAAATCGTATTTCTATTTTTTTTTTTTTTCGTGAAGAAGATCAGCCCTGAGCTAACAGCCAATGCCAATCCTCCTCTTTTTGCTAAGAAAGATTGGCCCTGGGCTAACATCCGTGCCCATCTTCCTCTGCTTTATATGGAAGGCCGCCACAGCATGGCTTGACAAATGGTGCGTTGGTGCACGCCTGGGATCCGAACCTGCGAACCCTGGGCCGCCGATGCGGAGTGCACGCACTTAGCCACTGTGCCACCAGGCCGGCCCCTCATATCTCTATTTTAAATAGATATCAGCAGTCATTTTAAATGAACTTACAGTAGTATCAGTGTTGAGGATGTGTTGGGAGTTAACCTGTCTAGGTTTATGTGTGTTTTATCTTTTATTATATAACTGCTTTAAAAACTATATTTAGACTTTCTGTCTAAAACAGATTATTATCAGATCATTTAGTCAAAGCGATTCTTTAAAAATTAAGATTGATATCCACAGTAATACAACATTTTTGTGGTTGTCTTTTTTTTTTTTTAAACAAGTTTTATGCACCATGGTGTGGCCACTGTAAAAAACTGGAACCAATTTGGAATGAAGTTGGTCTTGAGATGAAAAGCATTGGTTCTCCAGTTAAAGTTGGAAAGATGGATGCTACTTCCTATTCTAGTAAGCATTTACTCAGTTTATTATTTTACCATTCTCATAATGAAAATGTTTTAATTACATGAAGCAGTATTCAAGGTAAGAGGAAGAAATTTTTTTTTGGTTATGTAAAATTAAAGTTATCTTAATAATTTAAAACTGTACACTTTACAGTTAAATGAATTAGCCATTGAATGGTAAATATGCAGTATATGTTAATCGTATGCCTAACAAAGAAGTGTAAGCCATTGCTCCTACTTTGAGCCCACTTGAGATGATCAGTTTCCCTGAGGCATAAATACAGAAATTTGACTGTTAAACTATTGATGTTGGTTTGTGAATTGAGAGTGAGGTTTGTTGTCTGTTTGAGTAGCCTGAGATGATATAGTAGAGGAGTAAATGGGAACTTGAAAGATGAGTTGAGTTAGGATAAATACAAGTGAGCATCAGAAAAGTATTCACATTGGAGAGAATATTAGAGCAAAATCTTAGAGGTAAAAATGAGCTTAATAAGTATGTACCAGAGAATACAATGTCTTAAAGCAGAGATTGGCAAAAAACCTACAGCCCATGGACGAAATCTGGCCCGCCGCCCGTTTTTGTAAGTAGCGTTATTGGAACACAGCCACACTCTTGGTTCACTATCGTCTGTGGCTGTTTTCATGTTCCAAGGGCAGAGTTGACTAGTTGTAACAGAGACTGTATACCCCACAAAGCCTAAAATATTTATTATCTGACCCTTTACAGAAAAAGTTTACCAATGCCTATCTCAAAGGGTTTGAGAAAAGAAGAAATTAAGTTTAGAGAAGTATGATGTATCATAGAAATTTGGAAAAAGCATGGCTTCAGAAAGCAGACCTGGATTCAATTCCTGACTCTGCCTGCTGCTTTGCTATGTAACGTAGGGAAAGTTTCTTTGTTAACATCTCTAAGCTTTGATGTCCACATTGGTAAATATTTATTAGTAATGCATCCTTTATTGTTTGTTTTTAGATTTGAGTGATGTAGCACATGTAAAGTCTCTTGTAGTATTCAATAAATGTAGGTTCTCTTTTCCTTTAATTAATGAAGAAAGTGGGAGTACGTAATGTGTATTTCTTTTTAGGAAATCAGCATTGCGTACTCAGGATACAACTTTGGAACAAGACAGACCTATGTTTTAATCCCAACTCTGTCATGTCCTACTTTTGTGGCTTTGGGGAAGTGCTTAACCTCTTAACTTTAGCTTCCAGGTCTATAAATGGGAGAGTGATAATCCTCAAGGTTGTGAGGATATTAGTATTTCATGTTCACAGTCCTTGGCACAGTGGCTACCCTGTATTACACGCTAAAGGATAAGACCAGATTTTAAGGGCCTCCCAGTTCAGACAAAGTGTTTGGATTTTATCAGTTGTCAATTGAGAAGTAATACATATTTTTGAGAAGGCAGGTGACTTGATAAAAATGTTTGTGGCAGCAACATATAGGATAGAAAAGAAGAGCATTTAGAGACAAGAAGATCATCTAAGTCGACCTTTGTATGCATCTTGGTGTAGGATGCTGGGAGCCCAGACTTGGGTACCAGCAGTGGAGTCAAGAGGAAACAGGAATTTTTACAGACATTTTCAAGGGTGAAGTCACAGATGTGATAGATTGGCTCTGTAGTATAAAGAACAACAATCGAAAATAATAGTACATATAAGAATCTTAGTGTAGTTACTGAACGACACTGCTACTGGTTATATGGAAAAGAATAATTAATTTTGTGTGCATTTTCATGTTAGCAGCTGTTTTGAATTTATGGTATTTTCCTTTATTGATGTTTGGAAATAGGGAACTGGAGTGCAGGTGAGATGTTAGAGCTGGATTTATTGTCACAAATTAATTATTGAAACTTGGAGAGGAGAAGAGATCAGTGGCAGGAAGTTATTGGAGAGAGAGAGAGAGTAATATGCTTGAGTTGGCATTTCTTAAAATAAACTTTTAACAATGTTTAAGAAATTATTCCTTTCTGCCATTGCTCACGAAAGTAACTTTTTGTGTCTAGGCATTATGTGTTGATTGGACGTGCGTACACGTACATTTATTCATATAGTCATTCATTCATACTGACTCAATCAGTATATATTTAGTAACTACCATTTGTCAAGCCCCGTACTAGTCTCTAGAGATTAAAGAAAGACCAAAACAAAGCCTTCTTGTCCTGGAAGTGCTTACAGTCTAATAGAGGGAGAAAGAACAACAAACCAAGTGCAATAAAATCTTACACATGGCAAATTCTTGTGATCAAGTCAATTAGTCAATGGAATAATAAAGTAAAATAATGTTTAAAGGAATGTGGGAGTATGGAAAAAAATAATCAGTAAGAAAAATAGTATCTATAAATCAGTAAAAATCTTAGTGGTGGATTATTCGTGTGATTCTACAGGGATAGCACTTTACATCAAGTCAAATTCTTTTTTACAGTATCTAATTTGTTAGTTTATTATTTAGTTTGTATTAAGTGCCCCTGTGTACCACTATTGATTAGGTGGCACTATGATTAGGGAAAAAATAGCCAAGACTTTTTGCCTGAGTAGCTTAGAGGAGAAAGTGTTTTTAATGCTGTGATTAAAAAGCAGTAGTATTCTTTTAGGTCTTAAGACTTCATGTATGGTAGGTAGCCTTTTAGGTACTTTATGGTGGGACTTTTTTTCATTTCATTTTTCATAAACCATTAAGAGGTTTACCTTTTTGCTTCTGATATATGATTGTTATCTTGTTCACTTAGCATTGTGTAATACATTATATTGAATTAATAGGAGGAAAAAACCTCTATAGAAGGTGCATAGCACATTATCTCAAGCAAACCATCTGGCTTTGGGAAAAGAGAAAGGGGAACTCGTATATACTGAGGCCCACCCTCTGCCAAGCATTGTGATAGGTGCTTTATATGGAATAAACCTCCTCCACCTACTTTCCCACCCCAAACCCCAACCTGCATGGTGATGCGTGCTTGTAAATCCTTGTGACTACTTGAATCATATAAACGTAGTTTATTGAAAAGTCATTCTTTTGTCAGAGAGTTGTAGAGTCAGCATTCGGTCAGCAGATATTTAATGAGTGCTTCCTATATGCCGGGATGTGCCAGGCACATTCTAGGCATTGGTGATACATCCATGAGCAAAACAGAGAAAAGTTTCTATTCTCGTGGAATTTATGTTCTAGTGGGGAGAGAGAAAAAATAACCAATAAACATAAGTAAATTGGTGTTATTTAGTGTTTGAGGTTAGTGATGGATACACTTTCCACTTTGTTACAGAATCAAGGAGATGTTTTATGTGCTATGGAGAAAAGAAATATTATCTTCCTAGTATTTAAAAAAAAGTTAAAGTATTCAAAAACTACTGTCTAGAGATTACAAGTAGATTTTTGGCATATAATTCTTAAAATTTCCTTAAATACTTTGACAGCTCCAATATAGGCATTTTAGTAGAACTTGGAATCAAACAGGTGAAGAAATAGAAGTTTTTTTCAAGCTAGCTGTCAACATTATTTTAGGTCTAACTATAAAATACTAAAGAATTGGCTGTTGTATAGGTATCTCTTCTACCCGCCCCCGTAAGTTGCTTTTCAAGCAGTCACAGCATCAGTCTTTCTCAGTGTTTAGTCTGCAGACTACCTGCCTTAGGATTACTTGAAGTGCCCAGTATAAATTCAGATTCTGAAGACCCACACCAGCCCTACCAAATGAAAGTCTTTGCGATTGGGTCGTGAGAATCTGTATTTTTAACATGGACTTCAGGTGATTCTGCTGCACACTTAAGTTGGAGAACCACAAATTAAAGTATTATTTTGATGGGTAGATAGTCATTTATGGGATTTTGGTTTGGGGTGGGATAGAATTATTCAGTGCTGAAGTGTAGAATATCTCTTAGAGTATTTGAGGGTAGCTTATTTCCCAATCACATAATTGCAGTGATTAGGAGCCAAAGCCCTCATGCTCAGTCCAACGAATCTTGGCGTATAGAATTCTTCAACTAGAGAAATTTGAACTGTCGTGATTTATCCTGCCCTTTGTTTGGAATTGTACCAAAAATTTCTCGATGCGTGGTTTTAACTAATAATATTATTTATCAACATAAAAGGTTGTATATTATTGGATGTAAATTCAGATATATATTTTAGCCTCTCTTTTTTGTACATATCTCTTCAAAAATGAGTACTAAAATTGTTTCTTATTCAGAAGTTAAAATATGTTATGATGCTACGTGTAATGGTGTACTTTTTTCCATTATGAAACCACTGAAATTCTGTTTGTTCTTTAACCTAAGTGTGACGTCATTTTATGATAAAGATCATGTTTTACTTCTCTTTGATGTGTAAACTTGCAGCAGCATTTGGCCAATAATATTCTTATTCTGATTTCTTGTTCGCAGATTATATTTGCAAATTAGTTTTACCTTTCTAGACTATAAGCCCTTTTGCTCAGTGTATATATTTCAGGGTTGCTCATCCCTGGCAGTATTGACATTTGGAGCCAAATAATTCTTTGTGTTTTGGGGAGGGCATTGTGGGATGTTTAGCAGCATCCCTGGCCTCTATCCCTACATCCCAGTAGTACCCTTCTCTTCCTGCTCGAGTTGTGGCAACCAGAAATGTCTCCAGACATTGCCCAGTGTCTCCTGGAGGGCAAAATCGCCCCCACTTGAGAACCGCTGCTATATTTTATTTCCTTTTCATGTTAGATACATAGTGATACTCAACAAATACTAAGAAAAATAGAATTTTGAACTGAAAATGACTTCAGATTAAGTCCAGCTGCTCTCTTCTTCCTACCTCCTATTGTATAGATGAAGTCGCAGAAGGTAGGTAGTGGTGAAATAACTTTGAGTAATTTCAAACACCAAAGTTAGGGGCAGAATTAGGCCCAGAATCCAAGATCACCAGGATTCACATTGAAACTTATCTCTACATAAAGTTATTATCATTTCAAGGAGAAATGAAATTGGGGGCTTCATGTTTAACCTCATTTTATGAGCATTTAAAATTACAGACTTCAGGGGAAGTTATTCATGTTACAATGGAGTCTTCAATTTGTGCAGGAATTGATCTTAGGTTTCTAAACAAACCATTCTTGTCTAATACAAGAAAAGAACAATAAATTTAAACTCAGCCTTGAGTTTCAGTCTCAGCCCTGCTACCTAATCAATGCTTGCTCTCAAACAAGTTACCAGATCTCCCTAATATTAGTTTCTTTATCTGAAAAATAGCATTAGCACCCTTTTCCCCCTTCACAAAATTGTTTTGAGGTGTAGTGGGAGGTATATTAAAGCCAGTCATAAGGTATTCCACACATGCTAGTTCTTGTTAATATTATCTGGACATTGATGTGTCACCAGATAATTACCTAACGATGAGATCAGAATCAAGAATAGAAAGGAAATGGACCTAGCATTTAAGGATCTCTATGTGCCAGACTCTGCTAGATTGTTTTCCGCATGTTTTCTCATTTTAAAATACACCCCCCCCCCACGAGATGAGTGGTATCCTCAGATGGGAAAGCAGAATAAGAGAAGTTAAGAAACTTATGCAGAGCTGCACCGATAATAAATGGAGAAGTTGGAATCCTGACCTGGGTCATCATTTGTCTATGACCCATGCTTTGCTTGTGTGCTTTTTTTAATTATACAACCATTTTCCTTTAGGGAAACCTAAGTTTGAAGTTTTAGGAGTCATTGTCAATTGAAATTCTGTCAGAAATGAAGGTTAATGCTCAGGGAGCCAAGGGACCATAGAGTGGGTGGTATCAGACATTTCCATCTGTAGATAAGAAAACTGAGGCCAAGTTATAGGGTTAAATGTGGAGCTGGGATTTTCTCTCTGAAACCTATCATGAGAACCACAATGTCAGCTATAAAATGCTACCACTAGATTTTCTTGTTGAGTGCGTGTTTCCTTTTCTTTATTTGATTTGTGTATAAATAAATTTTACAATAAATTATATAAAGAATTGCTAGTGGGGTATACCCCCCCCAGTCAATTATATTAGTCTTTAAGTTATGGCATTTCTTAATAAGTTTTAGTTGAAGGTAATAAGGGCTAGTATTTACCTGCCTCCTTATTTTGGCAAGGGGGGCATTAAGAACATACTTTACTCAGTTAATCTCCCCCTAATCATTTCTCTGTTTTTACTGGGAAGAAGACAGTCTCAATAACAGCAGTCCTCAGTTAGAATATACCAGACAGAACTAAGTCCTAAATTAGAGACGGGCGCACATAGTCAGAGGCAAGACCTGTATCTTCAGAACCTGAGTTCTTATTTTTGTTACCTCTTCTGTTTGTATTGCCTCTAGTTAAAAACCAGTGTTGATCACTGTCCAGATGTTTCTCCTCTCTCCACATGTTTAAGAGAGAAGCTCTAGAGTTGACAAAGCAAGGCAGAGAGATTTTTAGATGTTGTTTTGCCACAATTCACTTTGTCATTATTCTTGTGTATTGGTGGGGAGTGATGAGAAACCAAAGATTAATGATTACCAATGTGATTGGTAAACTGGAACACACGTATAGAAGTCGTTTCCTTATACCCAAGTGTGATAAGAAAATATCCTAGAAATAAAGAAAATTGACAAAGGGAGAGATCATATGAGTAAATACTGTATACTTTGCATATACTAGTATAGTTGTGTAAATATATTGTACATTGTCTATTAACTGAGACTATTTTATTTCTTCTTTCTTGCTTTAGTTGCCTTGAATCTTTAAAGTAGTATAGTGTTAATTTGCCATATGCTATAGTGATTTGTATATTTCTTAAAATCTTAATTCTCTATCGTTTGATTGTTTTTATTTTTGTTTCTTCTTTCCCTCAAAAAGATGCCATTGTAGCAACTATATCTTATTTTAATTAACGTGTGGTTTCAGAATAATCTTTGAGATAATTGGAATTATTCTAGGTTATTACAAAAGCAGAAACTTCTAAGTAAAGTTGCTTTTAGATCATATATTGACTGCAGAAATGAAGTAATTTTGCAAACATGATTTATGTTTTTAAAATTAAAATACAATGCAGTTCTTTTAAGACTCAGAAAACACTAAAGGACGAGATGGGCTTTTGCAGGTTTTTTTTGTTTTGTTTTTTTTTTTAAGAAAAGTCAGTGATATCTAGATGAAATATTTGTCCTGGAAAATGAAGTCAAATGAGAAATGAGACTTTATTTATATATATTTTTTAACAAGAATATCTTTTAAAATAAGTATTTTAGAGATAAAATTATAACTCTTCTTTTGGCATTTATTTCTTATTTGTCATAGTGTTTTGTGCAGGCCGTAGGTTGGATTATTAAGTGATGGTTTTCTATGGGAATGTGATGTTTTTTCTTTTTTGTGTGTGGTTTTTCTCTTCTTTTTTAAGACTTAAAAACAACATATCTGTATGGGTTTGTATAAATATATCTATATATTTTTAAAGTAAAAGGCTCATTTATTACCTAGTTTCTCATTTTTTAAAAAAATTTAGAACTATTTATTCTTTTTCTTATCAAGGCATTGCTTCAGAGTTTGGAGTTCGAGGTTATCCAACAATTAAGCTGTAAGTTGAGTGTTGTATGTTTATATGTGTATTTTTATTAGTTCACTCTACTTACGTTTTATTACGTTAATTTCTAGTAATTTCCTTGGAGGACTGAAGATTTGGGTTCAGCACTTCTTTCTAGGCATAGTATGTGATCAAAGTATATGCATCTTTATGCTTTTCTTTGTACTTAAGTAAATGTGTTGTCTAAGGCTAATTCACTAAACATGTTTTGAGTGCTTACTGTGGACAGGCACTATGCAAGGGATACAGTTGTAAATTATGAAAGGTCTTTTACCCTTGAGGAGTTCAAGAGTGTATTCTGCTGTATCTTGTGAATCCTGTCTCCTAACAAATTTTACTTTTCTATAATTAGAATAGACTTGTTTCGTTAGAGATGAAAGAAAGAGAATCAAATTGATGGATGTTAGTTCTAATCAGTAGATGTTGATCAAGTCTAATACAGAGGTATAAGTTGGGAGAAATGGTGTGATAATTCTAAAGGACTTAGAGTCATGATTTTATTGAATTTTCTCATCGGTGTCATCCTTATTTTGGTAACATGGGGAGTTGAGGAGTTATTTTGAAACTTATTTTTATAGCAATGTGAGTTTTTATTTCAGTATTAAAATTTCAAATTTCAAAATTTGACTAAGTTTAACTTTTTTATTTCTTGAGTTTTCTGTTGACCTCACTCCTTCCCCCACTTTTTAAAAATGTTTGCTAAGCATCTTTTACTTTGTTGTGTTAAGTAAATTATTCATTCTGTTCTTTCTGCTTAACTATAGATGTTCTATTGTGTTTTCATAATTTAAAAAAAAATCTCAGTTACTTGGACACATAATTTATTGGCAGTCTTTTCGAAAATTATCTAATTTTCTAAAAATGGTATTTTTATGCATTGTTTTACTGTGTAATCTTGGAGCATCTATCAAGCTACTATGATGTTGTATTGCTTAAAATTTGTCTTACCTTTACCAAAGTACATTTAATTCCCTGCCCTTGAACTTACCTTTTAACAGAGAAGGTAGTGAGAATTATAATGTTTTGACAAGCTCTTGACTGTGAATGTGCAGATTATTCCATTTTTAGAAGGCATAGACACAATGCAAATATCAAATGCAGTCATGCGTCACCTAACAACAGGGATACATTCTAAGAACTGCATCATTAGGCGATTTTGTCATTGTGTGACAAATGTACTTACACAACCTAGATGCTATAGCCTGCTACACATCTAGGCTATATAATACTAATTTTGTGGGACCACCATTGTCTCTGTGGTCCGTTGTTGACTGAAACGTCATTATGCAGCGCATGACTATAGAGAGTGAACTTATTTCGTGTAATTTTAATAAAGTATAACCTTTTCTTTATATTTTAAGTTGTTGGTCCCTTGAAGCCACTTGCCTACTGTATTTTACATGGTTATGCTGTTTCTAAAACTCCTCTGCATTAATTATATACTGTAATTTTATGTAACAATAGAGAGTGGTTAGCATTAAATATTAAAACAGTTGCAATAATCCAAGGGTTTTATATTTCTTTTTTTTTTTTTTTAAGATTAAAGGGGGACTTGGCATATAATTATAGAGGACCACGAACTAAAGATGATATTATTGAGTTTGCTCACAGAGTATCTGGGTAAGTTCTTACTAAGAAAAGCCTTTACTATATAATATTAATATTTGAAAATGTATTTTAATAGACCATATTGAATGTGCATATTTTTAGGGACTTAAATAAATAAACAGACAGATTTTATTTAGGTTATGAGAAAAGATAGGGTTATATAGCATATGCAAAGAGATCCTTTAAAGAAACAAAAGGGACCATGATTTGTATTATATACTTGTTAACCCCTCATTTAAATTCATTTAGCGTATAGAAGAATATTTTTCCTCATGGATTTTTAATACATTTTCAAAATATGATTACTTCTAACAACTTTGTGAATCTTAATTTTTATTTTATTATAATTTTGGTTCTGTACTGCCTTGTTTACATCAGTTAATTTTTCATGTTACGTAATTGCAGAGTTTTAAGAGAAACCCCACAATATTATTGTTCTGAGTAGACTTGGGCTTTAATCCCTAGCCTATGATACTGGAAAATGCTTTTTAGATACAGCTAAAATACTTGTCCTGATCTATCACGTGCTACTTTATGCTGATTGTGAGGTATTATTGCACGTTTTGCTTAGAATGTGACATAATTAGAACCCAGAGATCTATTTGAATTACAGATCTCTGAGGTTTTACTGATAAGGAGACAGAAATTCTTCCATAAGCATTTTCTGTTGGTTTGAATTTGGTGATTTTGTGTTTTAATATATGTCTTGCTGGGATCTAAAGAAAGTTGGTGCTTATGATTGTATAGTGTGATTCTGTGGAACTTCCTGAAGAGAACATTTATCCAGATAGATTAACCTATATTGACTTTGAAAGTACAGGCACTTTCTTATGAGTTTGACAGGATATATTATATTGATTGCTTTAAATAGCTTTAAATTGAAATATTGGGGTGGATTTATTGGGTGGCATGATACTATATGGCTTAAATTATTTGAGAAAAGGCACAGGATAGGAATAATCTTTATATATTAAAGTTTGCAAAGCTTATTAACATAATTTTTACTGTATTTTCTCATTGATTGCATATTTCATTTTCTTTATTTGCTTGATGAACAAATAAATTTTGAGATAACTTTATATGAGAGGATTGCTAGTAGGATGTACTTTATTCTCCATGACCTAGATTAGTCTTTATGTTTTGGCAATTTTTAATGAGTTTTAGTTTAAGCTTAAGAAGGGCCCTCCTGATGTAACTAGGGGTGACTCTGTTGCAAATGAAGTTTCAAGAGTCAGTTCTGGAGTTGCATCACAGACCTGTTAATTACTGAAGTATTGAAATAGAGGCTACGGTGGAGTGATGCAATGCATCTAGAGAATTGTGCATTTTGAAAATACGTTTGCCTTGGCAAAGTATGTTTTGTTCTTTTTGCAATTTTGGTGGAGTAAAAATCTGATACCGCAGACCACATTTAAAAGAAGACTGCCTCCTCTGTTAGTTTTTTAATAATATTGTGTAACTGGTATGTTTTATAGTGACCTTTGATGTACTTCATTTCTCAGTCTATTTGGCTTTAAAATATGCTTGATAATAAAACTCTTAGTAGAGATTTGTTTTCTCTTTATGAGGTTCTTATGTACTATTATGACTATCATTTTCCATTTTATTTTTCCTGAGAAGAATAGCATACTTATGAAACATTTTAGATTTTAACCTCTGTAGGGTATTTTAAAACTATATAGCATTTAAATGGACAGAATAAGACATACATATTCTTAACATAGTATTATAAACTCCTGGGATAGTACTTCCTAGTGTGTTTATGTGAATGATCTTTTGAAAGGAAGAAAAAAATAATTCTCATGTGGATTGTTTTGTTTTGATCTGAGGACTCTGAATGGATTATAGTTCTGTTTTTGCCTGTCAAAATATTGGCTAAGATGATACTCTCTAAAGGAATGTATTTGAAACATTTTTTAAAGTGATAGATTACATTGTGGGTACTATATTTTTATTATATAGATATAATAGTGGTCATGGGCTAGAGTTTTATTAGATTTATTTGTATTGAGTAATACACTTAAAATACAGTTAATATGACATTAAAACTTTATAACTTTAGACATGATAGGCTATCATATAAATAGGAGTAAATTGTTTACTGTCTTTAGTTTAAATGCAAGTTGGTTTTTTGTTTGTTTTATTTTCAAACAGGGCTCTAATTCGGCCACTTCCAAGTCAGCAAATGTTTGAACATGTGCGGAAGAGACATCGTGTATTTTTCGTTTATATAGGTGGAGAGTCACCTTTGAAGGTATCAGATGATTTTTATTTTTTTTTTATTTTTTAGTGAGGAAGATTTGCTCTGAGCTAACATCTGTTGCTAATCTTCCTCTTTTTTTGCTTGAGGAAAACTAGCTCTGAGCTAATATCTGTGCCAGTCTTCCTCTATTTTGTATGTGGGTTGCCACCATAGCATGTCTTGAGGAGTGGTTTAGGTCCATGCCCAGGATCTGAACCCATGAACCCCGGGCTGCTGAAGCGGAGCATGCCGGACTTACCCACTACGCCATGGGGCCAGCCCCATTATTTTATTTTTTAATCCACAAACACAAGTGTATCGAAATTTAATTTTATCTATAGCTAAAACTTCACCAAAACCTCAAAATTACTTTACTCTTATTGGAAATACTTTAGTTCAATTTAAGTATTTTTATTAAAAAAATACTTTCTTATATACCCTCTATAGTGTTTGCTTTCATGAAACAGAAGTGAGTAAAAAGTCGATAGATGTTGCCTGCTTTAGTATTTCTTAGTATTTCTGCTGTTATTGACCTGGTTATTTAAATTTTATATGGCTTTTTTAGCATTTTAAGTTTTTGAGACTGCAAAATGCAATTTGAGTGTAGACTTTTTGAAGGCAAAAGGTCATTGTCTTAGGTGTGTGTGTGTGTATATCGCATATCTATTCCTATAATCATCAAATTAAGTTAATAAATATGAATCGAGCTTATATCATACTTAATGAATTTAACTTGAAGGAGTATAAAAGCACCTAGTTACAGTGGTCTTTTGCCTTAGAAGCAGTTTATTTCATTTGCTTATGTTCCATCTTTCCACATAAAAGGACTCAAGGTAGCAAATTATGATGACACTACTTAGTGATAATACTACTTGCTCTGAATGTTTAATGAGGAGCGACTTGATCTTAATTAATACTTAGAAGTTACCTTTTTTCTTTTTGTCTTCACAGGAGAAATACATAGATGCTGCTTCAGAATTAATTGTGTATACATACTTCTTTTCTGCCTCAGAAGAAGTGGTTCCCGAGGTAACATTTAAAATTGGATTTTAATGACTTAAATTTCATTTTTTAAATTATTTCTTGATTTTATCTATCTGATTTATTTACTGTGATATGTCTGGAAACAGTAAACTTGTTAACTCTTTACTGCTGGCACCAGATTGCTTATCGTTAATAAGCAGCTATCACTAGATTCATAGCATTTAGGGATTATGATTATTACATTAGTGCTTTTTTTCTCTTTAAAATAATAGCAGTAGTGGGGCCGGCCTGGTGGCGTAGCGGTTAAGTTCGTCTGCTCCACTTTGGTGTCCCAGGGTTCACAGGTTTGGATCCCAGGCATGGACTGACACACTGCTCATCGAGCCATGCTGTGGCGATGTCCCATATAAAGTAGAGAAAGGTGGGCACAGATGTTAGCCCAGGGCCAATCTTCCTCAGCAAAAAGAGGAGGATTGGCAATGGATGTTAGCTCAGGGCTAATCTTACTCACCAAAAAATAAATAAATAAAAAAAAAGTAATAATAATAGCAGTAGTGAGAAGTGATACCTCAAACCCTTAAATTGGTTTATAAATAGTAGATTAAGTAATATATAATAATATGTATAATATATATTAATAAAAAAAATATATATATATAAATTAAACAACTACTTCTTATCCTCTAATCACTTTCCATGCACGGTTTTAAGTCCTGGATAATTGATGACAAGCAAGATCATCAGGATCCTGGTAGGATGGAGCTTACATTCTCATGGGTGGAGGAAGTGGACTGAATTTTAGTGTTGCAGGGGAGGTCTTCTATTGGGTCCTCAGATCGAGATAGTGATCATCAGTAAACAAATCAATAAACAGGATATCATAACTGCTATAAAAAAATAAAGGAGTAATGTGATAGTAGGGACATTTAGAGATGGGATGGCTGCTCTGGCTTGGTTGATTAAGAAATGTCTGTCTGAGAAGAAAATATTTGAACTGGGACTTGCATAACATGAAGGAGCTGTGGAAAGATCTGGGCCAGAGTAGACCAGAAATGGACAGATGCCCAAGGTGAGAACATGCCTGGTATATTTGAGGAATGGAGTAGTAGGCCATTGTGGCTGTAACACAGTGAGAAAGGAGGTAGGAGGTAGCCAGAGGCCAGTGGAGGCCTTGCAGGTCGTGGTCTTGCGTGTGGTAGGCTGAAGTTGGTGAAGAACTTGGTCTCATGTTCTTTTTAAGGACATTGCTCTCTGCTAAGCACAGAATGAATTGGATAGGGATGAGAGTGGATCCAGAGAGATCAGTTGAACTCTTGAAGTAATCTAGGAAGTTTGAGCTTGGAGGTTAGTAAGAGAATTGGGGAGAAGTGAAAGAATTATTGTGTTTGGAGACAGAACTGTTTGAACTCGCTGATATGAAGGAAAAGGGATGAATCAAGGATGACTCCTAGGTTTTTGTTTGAATAGCTGGGTAGGTGGTGGTATTACTCATGACCTTGGAAATATTGCGAAAGGAGCAAGTTGGGGAATGAGGGCATGATCAAGAGTTTTGAATTGTTCATTTTAATTTGATTCAGCATATTAGACATCCAAGTACAAGCATCCAAGTACAAATATGCAGTTGGATATAGAGGTCTAGAGTTGAAGCTGCATAAAGAAACTTCTTAGACACGGAATACAAATTTATAAGGAAAATAAGAAGGCCAGGACCTAAAGATAGCAAAGGAAAATGAGAAGTAGGAAAACACAACAAGTGGGAAGCCAAGAGAAAAAAGTGTTTACAAAAGGAGTGTCTAGTTGTACAAGATTCTTGCAAGGTGATCAAGATGAGAAGGCGACGGTAACCACAATATTTGTCCACATGGAGGTTGGTGGTAGTTTTAAGAGAAACAGTTTGAGCATGATAGGGAAAAGTGCTTCACTGGTGTTATTTGAGAGAATGCGGGTAGGAAATTGGAGGCCACAAGTATAGACTTCTCTTTAGAAAAGTTTTACTGAGAAGGAGACCCGAAAAATTTGGCAGTAGCTGAAGGGCAACATGAAATAAATCAAGGGAGCTTTGTCCCTTTAATCACGATAAGTTATAAAACTTTAAACAATTTTTTTTCACAAAGATATGTCATATTACACATTTATTACTTTTTTGTTTAATATTTTTTAATGTTTAAATATTTTAAGAAGATTACATGATTCCCTAGAGTATGTGTTTAATACTTCCTGCAAATATACATAGATGTTTATCTTATAAATATGTATTCTGAAATGATTTTCAACACCTTGGGGAACTGCAGACAATTCCTGCTCAGCCTAAACTGATGTAGGTTTACTTAGTTTGTCTAAGAAGTTATTTTGCAGTATTTTATGTGTATGCATTTACTCTTGATGGGGAGGGAATGGAAGAAGAGCCATACTTGCCATCAGAGTCTCAAACAGTGCCCCAAAAGGTTATGAACCACTATTCTGGAATGTCTTAGGATATCTTAATGTGATACAAAGGCCTAGAATGGACTAGAACTATAACTTTTAATACGCTTTTATCTCCTAAGTCCAGTGGACCACGTTTTAGTATTAGAGATCAGTATATATACTGGACTCTCGTCTGCAAAGCTTTCCAAGCAGTTTCATTTGGAGTGCACCAGAGGGTTTGCTGCATTCTGGGCCCTGACTCCATCTGACACCATCTCAGTCCTCATATAACGATGGGATGTCTTAGATCAAAATCCCTAGAACCTAGGAGGTCTGGGTGAGCACAAACTGCATCTGCTACATAGGCATACTTCTTGGATATTATGTATTATTTTTATTATTATTAGCCTTCTCAACTAGTTTCTTTAAGCATTCTTTAATTATTTCGGCAAATATCAATACTTGTCATCTCTTTTTTAGTTCTGAGTATGTGATTGCAGAAGTCTGCTAGGGGGAGTAATAGTTATTTCGGAGTTATTTCGGATTTTTACTCTCATAGAGAATTCTCAAATAAAGGCAAAGCCCGTGATTTTATGTTCTCATATTTTGAATTTTAATGTTTGGTCACACAAAACTTCCTTAGCTGTACCACTAGTATTTATGAAAACCCCACTAAGTGTAATAAGGGAATATGAAGATAAAAATAAGAGACTTTCTGACTTCAGGATACTTAAAGATGAATGGAGAAGATTGGCGTGTAGACAAATAACTGTACTATAAGATAGTGAGTTTAAAGGAACAACAGGAAAGAGGAGGAGGGATTCAGAATATGTAGAAATAGATGGCTGCCAGGTTTCAACTCTTTGGTAATATTATAGTATGGCCCACTCAGGGATGTCCTTGAAAGATGAATGGAGAAGATTGGCGTGTAGACAAATAACTGTACTATAAGATAGTGAGTTTAAAGGAACACCAGGAAAGAGGAGGAGGGATTCAGAATATGTAGAAATAGATGGCTGCCAGGTTTCAACTATTTAGTAATATTATAGTATGGCCCACTCAGGGATGTCCTTGAAAGAGAGAGATGCTGAATGTTAAAAAATCCTTCCAAAGCACCTTTGTGGATGAGTTGCCAAGAGCAAGTGAATAGAGGCATACTTGGTGATGGAGCCCCCCCTAAGAGCTTTACCACTGCCCTTAAAATAGTTACGTTGATGGTGCTGTATCATTTTTTTACTAGTAGGATAACCAGATCGTTCTGTGCTGCCTGAGATATGCCTCCTCCCCTTTTTAATCTTTCCAGGACACTGTCTTTATTTTTATTTTATTGTTATTATTTTTATTTATTAGTTATCTACTGATTTATTTATTTGTTGTTACTTTCGGTATTACCACACTCATGTAATAATTCTATGTGGCTTACCCAAACTATCTTCTCTGCTCTGATAGTGATTTCTCTACAATAATCTTACTATTTTGAAGTAATTGCAACACAGGTATAAGAAGCAGGTGCCTCCTGAATGAATCCCTTATTACTAATTACCGTTATGAGTTCCCATTTGTAAAGCAGTTTATAGTGTAAGCCTGCTCTCACATATGTTAACAAACCCAACTCTCCTAACTCCCTGTGAGGTGGGGGCTCAGTGTCCTTGCTTTACAGAGGACCAAGCCGACTGTCCAGGTAAAGCTATGGACTCATCGTCACACAGCCCAGGAGTGGCGAGGGAAGAACTCGAACCTACTCATGCTGACGGATACCTTAGCCCCTGCTCTTCTGCCGCTCAGAGTGCCTCTTGTCCGTTACTCCCCGTGATGTCTTTAGGTCTGTTATCAACTCTAAGAATATTCCATGGTTTTCACCACAGCAAACAGGGCACGTCCAGAGGATGTATAAAGAGATATCAAACCCAGTCCTTGCATGAGCTTGAGATTGACTGTGCTCTTTTTAACTGTTTGTAGCAATTTTGTTATTGTTGTGTTTATTTCCTCATATCCTTCAATACTTTGACATCATAGCTACCAACTGAAATTTTTTAAATGATAATTAAAGTTATTTACACTTCTTGTTTTTCAGTATGTGACACTGAAAGAGATGCCCGCTGTGCTTGTTTTCAAAGATGAAACTTACTTTGTTTATGATGGTAAGTTCCAAAGTTTTAACTCATATAAAATATCTTAAAATTAAAAGGCTGTGTTTATCATAGGATTTAACTGTTGCTGAAAGATTTAGTAAATGTAGCTACTGCTTACGGTTCCCGTTAGTTGAAACACTGATGACCTTTTCTTACCCTTCAACTTTAATTTTTCCATCCAGTGTTCTTTCATTCTGGGTTTTGCCTACAATGAATTTTTTTTGTTTTATGAGGAAGATTAGCCCTGAGCTAACATCTGTTACCAATTCCCCTCTTTTTGCTGGGGAAGACTGGCCCTGGGCTAACATCCATGCCTGTCTTCCTCTACTGTATGTGGGACGCCGCCACAGCATGGCTTGGCAAGCAGTGCATCGGTGCGCGCCTGGGATTCAACCTGCGAATCCCGGGCCTCTGAAGCAGAACGCATGTGCTTAACCACTACAACACCGGGCTGGCCCCTGAATTTATTTATTTTTTATCAGGTCATTTGCCTTTTTCAGAAGTGAACCCTATGCAATTTTTATACATTATTTTAAAATACTCTAAATTAATTTAAAGAAAGACCTAACACTTCAGGCACACAGAAAGGTAAAGAAATAAGACATCTTCCATAGTGGAAACGCGCCCAGCGTGTTTTTCCCTAGCTCCAGCCCTCCCTCCCTGACAAGTAACCACTCACCTGCTATTCAGCATTTCTTCATTGAAGCAAATACTTGATGTATTTTTAAAATGTTTTTATTATATCAAACATACACCATTGTGAGGAGAATGCTAAAATAATAAAACCCTACATACATACCCATCAGCCAAGTTAGACAAATTAGCAAGGTCTTACCACGTTTGCTTCAACAGGTTTTTTTCTTTGTTGTAGTATTTCAAGGCAAATCCTAGTGGCATTTCGTCTCCATGCTTCATTATGCATCATCTCTTAGAAAACGTGGACTTTTTTGTTTTTAGACAGCCACATGCTCTTACAACACTTACCAAAATTAACAATAATTCCTTGGCATGATCAAATACCTCCTCCTACACTTCCCAGACCGTGCTCTGAGGTCCCTTAAGACAGTGGAGGAAACTCACAGGGGCACCAGGAGATGTTTTAAATTTTAAGAAACATAGTGAAACTCAATATCGTTGGCCGCCACACAACCACTCAAAAGCGAAAGTGAGTGCAAAGTCTCGCCTAAGAGCTGTCCTGATAGCATTCTAAATTACAGTTTAATAAAGCAAAACATTCACTTTCTCATTCTCACTAGCTACATTTCAAATACTCGGTGGCCTTGTGTGGCTTCTGGTTACCATGTTAGAGAGCACGGATGTGGACTGTTTTATTCACTGAAGAGACTTTCTAGAGTGTTGTTACTTTATATCAGAAGAGAAGCTAGAATTACTTGAGAGCTGTAGGTTTTGAGTTGCTTAAATAACTCGAATATAAGATCTAATAAAAGGGATATTTTGATTGTTTAGTTTTAGTAAAAGGAACATTTTAATTGTTTTGACAGTCTTGTTGTGAAGACTAAGCATTTCTAAAATCTTGTACCTTCATTATCTTAAATTCAGTCCTCGTGAGGACTGAATTTTATTCCTTGCTGTAGTATATAAACCATTTATGTGTTAGTTTTTATACAGCAGGTACCATCTATGTACTTAACTTGATATTTTCACTTTGTCCTCACTGTAATTTATGAGGTAGGTGGTAAGGCAGATAGATTAATATCCTGAGATTACAAAGGAGGTAACTAAGAATGTTAGATAAGGAGATAGATGTATAATTAAATTGCAGATTCATTCATTTGCTCATTCATTCGCTCATTCATTCATTGAGTATTTATTAAATGTCTGTATTAGACATTGGGCTTGAAAAGGAAGTTGAGAGGCAGTTGCATATGTGAAAACAGGAGAAGGAAAGTAGTGCACCTGCACCGATTCCAGCCACCTGCTCTTTGATTGCTGCGCTCTGTGTGTGATAAGCACTTAGTGTATGTTGTCTTATTTGATCATTACAACAATCTTTTGAGATCAGTATTCTTACTATTTTACAAGTAAATAGGATTAAAGAGATTTTTTTTTTGCCAAGTTAAAATAGTGGTATAATCAAGCTTCAGCCTTCAAATCTCAGGTTCTAGTTCTATTCTGAGTCTCTTAACAACTCAGAGAGCCGCTTGGTTTCTTTTTGGAAAAAGTCTGATCATACATATCTGTTTAGACTTAAATGTATTTCTTTAAGTGGGCTAAGAAAGTGACCCTCCTCAAATGTGGCCCCCTGTGCATAAGAAACACAGGAGTAATGCGTTAAGTATCTACAGCTATTGTAAAGCCCAACATTTTCTAACATGCGGTCATCAGTATTTAGAACCTGCCTGAAGGCTTCAGATAAAACAAAGAGTTTCCTTTGAACCCTTATTCTAATATTTAATAGTTAATAAGTTTAGAAACATCGGGGTAGGGGCTCAGGAGGATAGTTTATCTTCCAGTGAGTTTCAGATTTATCAACTTTGTGCAGTCTTTACAAAATAGGCTTTTGACCTGGAATGGAGAGTGTGGCCCAGTAATCAACTTCTGGTTTTATGTTTATTTTTCTAATTTGTAAATCCAAATCCATAAATACTTTCAGATTTGCATTATATCACTTACTTTATAGGTGTGGTAACTTGAAAATGTTTTGTTTAGCAATGCAAGTGACAGAAAAAGCACATCTTTCAAGAAATCAGTAAAATCCGTCTTCAACCAGACATATTGGTAGGCGTTTACATCAGCTTCTTTTTCATGAAGTTGTAATAATTTTTCAGAATTACTTCAGAATTATATTTCTAATCAAGACATAATATTTCTCTGGGATGTTATAGATGTTTTCTATCTGCTTAGCAAAAGAAGTATTTGATGTTGGAAAAAGGCTAAAATACTGTGGCTTTATATGTGTGTTTGTATTAGTTTTACATATGAGAAAGTGTTGTAAACTGAGGTAGAAATGTCATAAAATAGAGAAGAGCAAAGAAATTGTGATAAAAAGTTACCTGTACTGCCATCATCCAAGGCTATCAACCCACGATAACCATTTAGTAGGAGTATATACGCCTTCGTTTTATCATTTTCTCAGTTTTTTTCAGACTTTACTTTTTACAAAGTTATAGTCATGCTGTAGTATTATTTTGTAATCTGCTTTACCACTTAATTATTACAAAACTTTTAATCTATAAATCTTCTCCGATATATACTATGATTATTTAAATTATTTTCTGTTTAGAATATTTCAATTATTCCCTTTATTTTTATTTATTTATCTTTTGCTATTTTTAATGTTGCTGTAGTGAAGAATTGCTTTGTGCATTAATCCTTTTTTACATCTGATTGTTTGCTTAGATTAGATTCCTAAAAAGAAAATTTGTGAATTTAAGATTATGATCCTACGTCAGGCATTTTATACATATTGCTACATTAGAACATTATAAACATTTTAAGGCATATTTACACTAAAATTTACCAACTTTGTTTTGTTTCTAAGAGTACGAAGATGGTGATCTGTCATCTTGGATCAACAGAGAGAGATTTCAGAATTATCTTACTATGGATGGCTTCCTCTTGTATGAACTGGGAGACACCGGTAACAAGCATATATACAACTCTCCATCACTACAGAATTTTTCCTTGTTGATTGCTTAAATCTGATTCTGTAGGAAATGAATTTTAAGCTGTGTTTCATAGTTTTATTCCTTCTTTCCAACCTGAATGCCAGTTCTGCTTTATGAGAATATAGATTAATATTACCAAAGAACATACCTTTGTATGTGGATCAAAGATTAACTAGAGAGGGTTTACTAATACAACTGATCGTGACAGAGCAAACAGAGCCTGAATAATAAGGAAATGAGAGAAAATAACCAACCAAGAAGCTGTACTCAGGAGGCTGGTTTTGTAATAGGAGTTGGAATACAGCTTATCACAACCTTGTAAGGCCCACTTTTACTTGTGAGGAAAAAATGGGCATCAAATTGGCATGGTTTCTCAAAGTTACATGATTGAAAATGACAGGCAAAGCAAATATAAATATAGATGCAAAAACGAAAGCTGTAAGAAGCTAACTGTATGGTCTCAGATGGAAACTACAAAAATGATAAGAAGCTAACCATATAAGTTTTAGGAGGGAGTGTTGTATAAATTTATAATGAATTACAAATGAGAAATAAATCATGGATACTGTTGTCACATTTTTTTCCATTCACAACTTTATGATAAGTAGGATGGAAGTATAGTTTTAGATTAAAAGAATGAGAAAACTTTACTCAAGGCTCAGTTTTTTTAAATGAGAAGTATTGGGCATAGAGTTTCCTCTTCGTGATTTCCTGATCTTCAATCTGTTTAAGAATACAAATTAGAAATATTTGAACATGTCCTCCTGTTGCTTTGTGACTCTTAGGATACTTGTTCTGGTTCCTGAGCCAGCTTTTTGTGTGCTGTGTCTGCTGATGGTTCTGCCTTGGCTTCTTCTTAGCAGAGGGAGGTGTGCATTAGCCCAGTGTGGGAAGTTGACGTGGATACTGTCAAAGATTGTGGGTTTTCAGGCCCGTGTGAAGGTGAAAGGGGTAAAATGTAGGAATTCGGTAGTTTAGCTTGCACTGCAGTAATCATAGGAGTCAGCGTGATGTCGAGGTAATTAAAATAGGCACCTTTGGCTCTATTCAGACAGTTTCTTCTCCCAGATGAATTTGGAAAGCAGTTGGCTATGGCAGCATTCCTTTTGTGTCCAACATCATTGCCTTTGTTAGGTGTCAGCTGTGCCCCCGCACGTTGTCCCACCTGGGCCACTTACCGTAAGAGCACCACAGCCGACTCGCGGCTCTCAGCGGCTTCAGACGTTTCTTGTCTTTCTCAGCAGTTCTGGTGACCTCAGCTTCCTGCCTCTTCCGACTCCTGTCTGAATCTCCAGTCTCGTCCCACTCCAGTCTTTCCCCGCCCTCTCCCTTCTCCAGCCACACTGACCTTTCAGTTTCTTCAAAAGGCTGTGCACCATGCATCAGAACACACGTCTGTGTTCTCTTTTCTTTGCCTGGACACGTGTAGTTAATTTAGATTCATCTGTCAAGCTCAGACCACATGTTGCATCCTTAGGAAATTCTTTTACTGCCTCCCTCAGCTACATTAGTTGACTCTGTACTACGCTTCTGTAACACCACGTTCCTTCCCTTCAGAGCGCTCCTGATTGTTAACCGTACATCTGTTGGTGTGATTGTCTTCCCTACTAGCCCGTGCTTTCCCCAGGTGCAGAGCTGTGTTGCGTGTGCTCATCACTGTATGCTCAGAAACTAGCCCAGTGCTAGGGACGTTGCTTGGCGCTCAGTAATTGTGAAATTAATACGTGAGAAACTGCCTGTGGGAAGGTGCTCTGCGTGTTGTAGGCATTTTGGAAAAAGCGCATAAAGCACTTGAAAACGAAAGAAGCACAATGAAAATAAAACACTGAACATAGATGAAATAATATTTCTCGAGAGGAAATAATCATTATGAACTAATGTTTTCAGTTGAGAGTTAAAAGAAGAGTCAAGATTGTGTAGAATTTGAAGATGTGTTTGAGCAGGATGGAATTAGAGAAGAAGCGTTTAGATGTGGGGATGATACTGAAAGATTGTTAATTCAGTCTTACATTTATATTTCTGAGCCGGAATCTGTCCCAGTGTTTTTGTGCATGTAATCTCATCCAACGCGCCCACTAACTTTGAAATAAATATTCATTTCTAAAATAAGTTGAAGTTTACTGAGGTGAAGTCACACAGCTAATAAATGATGGTGCTTCTCCATTGTTCTCCCGGGATTAGAACTGGTTTTCTGACTCCAATACCAGTGCTCTAGTTATTACGTCGTGCTGCCTTCCTGGAGGATATCAGAGATGAATATGATTTATGTTCTATTTAGGGTTAAGTGAATTGGAGTCAATTTTATATTGTGTATTGTTACTGGCAAGTAGTGACCCATGCTACCAAGGGGCATAGCAATATAAAAATAATTTTCCTATGGTTATATGCTGTTGTCTTAGAGCTACAGTCATTAATAGTGAATTTCTTTTATCGACTTATTCCTTTTGGCTTTAGCTTTTGACAAAATACTGATTTTAGTTGGTTTGTGAGTTGTGTGAAAAAAATACAATTTGAATATATGAATTGTTAAATATTTACTATTATTTACATTTTGGAGATGGGAGGTGGGAGGGAGCTTATCTCTTGGAGTCACCTAGTTCACTGGTTCACCCTACTGAGTGTAACATGTAGGGTAATAGGAATTAAATTCTAGAAACAGTATTTACTACTTCCCTCTTTGCAGCTACAGTAATAATTGAAAAGCTTGTATAATGAGGATTATTGAATCTAGATGTGTCCTCCTTAATTTCAGGGAAGCTTGTGGCCATTGCAGTTATTGATGAGAAAAACACATCAATGGAACACATGAGGTATGATGCCTTGAAATAGTTTTAAGCTTCAAATATCATCTAATTCAGACTATACATGGCTTCAGATAAATATGATATCTTACTTTTCCTGCAGTATTAAGTAGGACAGCAGATATTGTAATTGAATAATTGTATTTTTCAAGTGAAGAGATGAATTTTCATGTGTTTGTTCTTCCACAGATTGAAGTCAATTATTCAGGAAGTTGCTAGAGATTACAGAGACCAGTTCCACAGGTAGGTGCTTGCTTTCTGGAAGATTCCTTTATCTTTATGTTTTGTAATATAGTAAACCAAAAGTAGTAGTATTTCATACTTCTAAAGGTAAATAAAGGAGCTGAAGTGAGTTATAGCATGTTGCATTTCAGTATGAATTGTCTGGCCTTGAAATTTGTTGGTAAATGTCCTACAAGTAAAAAAAAAATATGTGTATTTTCTTTATAATTGGTATCATACCTGCTTCTTGATAGGGTTTGGGATAAGTTTGTGGTAAGAAAATATGCACATACACATTTGAGATAAAGGTAAATGAGCAATCACAAGTCAGATATGGACAGATGATTGTAATAGGAACTCAAAGAATAACAGAATGTAAAAAATAAGTGATTTTTTGCTGTGTGCTAAATCATTCTGTTTGTTGTTGCTATGAGACAATCAGTATAAATTTGTTATATTATTTAATTATTATTCCATTTTTATTCTGAGTCTTCTAATGATGTATCAGTGATATATATTTATATTTCTCCTGTTACATAGTATGAGCATCTTCTAATTAGTCCTTTTTTAGAGTAAATGGGTAACTTTTCTTAGAATATTTTAATTAGAAAAGCTTATATTGGCCTGCATTTTAAGTATATATAAACAAAGTAGAAATGTCTTAGAATTTGCTTAAATCTACTCATGTGTATTTGTATCTCAAAAGCCAGTAGAATTGACATTTTTTTCTACATTTATTGTATGTGATGTATATGTTAAATGTTTATAGCGTTTACATGCTTAACAAGCCCTAAAGTTCAGTTCTTTGTATTTACTTCTTTTTTTTTTCTTGGTTGCTGTTGTTGGTTAGGGATTTTCAGTTTGGCCATATGGATGGAAATGACTATATAAATACCTTGCTGATGGAGTAAGTAAAGTGCTAAATGATTAAGTGATTTTGCTATCAACTTTTAAATTTCTGTTTCTGAGAGATAGACGGAAGGACTAATAGCTGAAAAAAGCAAACCTTTGGTATATGATGATGCAGACATTCTCACATTAAATATTTTACTTTAGCTTTTAAATCTATATTTGAAACCTACTGAGCTTTAATATTGTTCTATACTAAAAAAAATTTATCTTTCAATTCAGTGTTAATAGTTTATAGTATTTTGAAAAGACATCATTCAAAAATTTGTCAATTTTGTAGTCTCTGTTTAATATGCATTTTAAGTTCAATTTTAATGAATAAATGTAACTTAAGTAGAAAATTTTACCCTTCAAGAATTAATTGCTATTCTAGAAGAATTTAACAGAAATAACTTCACAGGAAAAATATACAATTTTAAAATAATTTCATCGATTATGTTTATGATGTAAAGATCTGATTTGTCACTTCAGAAAGTTGATGTTAGAAAACATTTACCATACCTAAACTAAATTAATAAATTTCAAATAAGAGCCCACTCTATGCAGTGGACATTTACTGAGTATTTACTCTGTATTATACACTGTTTAGCACTGTTGATGGAAAATATGAGTCAATTAGAGTCCCTGTCTTCAAATGCTGATAGTCTGCTTGGTAAGACAACGTGATGATTACAGAACTGTGTGAAGAGGTCTGTGCGGTAGAGAGCTCTGGAGACCCCCACCCCAGTGCTCGCTAAGGCGGAAGGGATCAGAAAACGCTTGCCGGAGGAGGCAGTTATTAAGAGAAGTTCTAAAGAATGAGAAGTTAGCTGAATGAAGAATGCAGAGAGGTTATTTCAGGCTGAGCCTAAGAGCAAACACAGGAGGTGCTAGGACGGTGGGTCTTAGGAGAGTGGTGGAGCCTTAGAATAGCCCCTGATGAGAAGGTGGGGAGAGCTCAGTCGTGGCAGATGAACGTGTCCAGCCACAGTGAGGGCCCAGTTCCAGTTAGCAACAGTGTGCTGTGTTTGGGTCTTCTCTAGCTTTGTTTAGTAGCATAGGTGTAGCAAATGCCTTCTTTCATTGTTGTAGTGGTTTAGGTTAAATTAGTGTCTTCCATTTTTGAAGAAAGAACACTGGGGAAATAAAAACAAAATTCACAAACCCAAAGTAACAGTCATAATTTTCAGTTAAAGCCTGAAATTATAAAGTAGCATTCCTTTATTCATTTATGTTCAATTTATTATCCCTCTTATTCCAATAACAATTTGAGAGGTTTTAGAGAAGATGTAAAGTACCAGATATAATATATAATGAAAAAAATCAAGACAAAGCAAAATAAAATAAAGGATCTATACAATTATTAAAGGTACTTGAAAATTTTTTAATACTCAAAACAAAGTGGAAAAACATTATTTATACACTTCCCATTGCCTATAAAATAACTTTCTTATAGGAGTATGGTTGACATTATAGAAACCTAAGAGAAACTGCTATGCTATATAATCTCGTAAAGGGGGACACTCTATCATAGAAGTATATTTTTAGTAGGATTTTTACAGTTTATGTAGTGGGGACTTTCATACAGTCATTTCTTATAATGTCCTTTGAGGCAAGCCAATATAGTGACTCAGTAAAACATTGTTTGCAAGAGGCCAAAGCAATTGGGTCAAATAAAAAAATCCTTGATTCAGGATAATATTCAGAGTATCTGGAGATGGATGGACATTCCTTCATGAGTATTATTTCTAATGTGCATTGTGAGATAGAAATTTTGAGCTACAATTACGGTCCGAGAACAACAATAGTCTCTACCATCAACCCCTTATTGTTTGGGTTTTTTTTAAAATTCATATTTTGTTTTTGCTTTTTTTGAGAGAAGAGAGAAGGCGTATAATGATGGTTGTATAATAATAATTGAAAGTCCTTATTGAGCACTTACCCTGTGACCAACACTGGACTAAGTGGTCAATGTGTATTTTCTGACTTTTTCAGTAACTCAGTAAGGTGTAAGTACTATTATTATCTCCGTTTTATATAGATGAGGAAATTGAAATTTCTTAGAAGAAACTCAAGAAAGTTAAATAATATGCCAGAGGATGCCCAGCAAGTAAGTTAAAGAGATCCAGTCCTCAAATCCAGATCTCTCTTACTCCAAAAGCTCTTAACTACTATAACATTAATATTAACAGATAAATTCGTGGAATTTAATGGGTATTGATGCCTAAAATATTGTTAACTTAAGGCAAATACATGATGTTATATAAGATAATTACACTGCAGCATTGGTATGTTTTTTACTTTTTCTCGAAATAAAAAGAGTACTATCAGACTTTTGGTTTATTAAGTTATTTTGTATTGGGTTTTTTTGAGTATAATTAAGAGGAAAATGGATGAGATGTTATTTTCCATCATTATTCAAATTGAATTATTTCAGAACAAGTAGTTTCTAGTTCAACTGTGTATTTAACTTTTTCATTAGATGTATTTTTATAGCAAGGCCAGGTTCTGATTCAGTCTATAAAAATAGAATTTTTTTGCTACTCTACTCACGCATTATGAAAACTAACAACTAAACTGCTATAAATCAAAAAGTGCCTGTTGTGTTTTTATGAACAAGAAAGAAGCTAAGATTTTATTTATTATACAGTTAACTACTGCCTAATAATAATACTGGATAGTAAACAAGCCTGATACCTAGTCGCTTAAAACAGTAATCATTTATTCTCTCTCACTTGTCTGGGCTTGGCTGACCTTGGCTGGGCGCAGCTCACTGTGGCTCCAAACTGCCAGTTAGGTTTAGGTCTACTCCACATGTCTTCCACGTTCTTGACCCTGGAAGGATATTTCCTGGGGGATGTTCTTCGCATGGCAATCACAGGGACACAAGAAGGCAAGCCCAGCCATGCATACACATTTCAGACCTCTGCTCTGTCACTTCTGTTACCTTCCTGTTGACCAAGTCCCATGGCTGAACTCAACATTAGGGGTCAGATGAGCACGGTTTGCCTCAGTGGGGAAAGGGTGTGGCATGCGGAGGGATCGAGAATTATGAACAATGATGCAATCTAGTGGACTCAGTTACTCATGTGCTGGTAATATAGTGGTGTAAATTGTTTCTGCTGTAGAGTTTTGTGCTTTTGGACAATACTTTCATATAGACATACAAATAACCATAAACTGATGTGTAGGTGGCATACGAAATTAAGCACCCTCCTTTTATGATTACACAAAAACCTATCCTTGAAAGAAAAAAAATTAAAATTATTTCAATTAAATGACATATATTGGTAATATTATGGTTTTCCATCTGCAGACTGAATTATGTCTAGTATATCACTGAATCACTTCCTGAGGATGGGGTAGAATATATAGGGGGATAGTGGGAGTTCAGAGAATGTGGAATAGTGCTTACTGAATGTGTATTATGTATAAGGTACTGTGCTGAATATTTAACTTGAATTTTCTCATTTAATTTTTATAATAAATAAGCATTTATTATAAATAAACACACAGCAGTGTGACTCCAGAGACCATTCTCTTCCCTGTCTAGGTACCTGAGTGCCATTTGACGGGGGTGGGTGTATGTGACTAACACTGATGTATTTAAAATAAATCTGTGGCAAGGAATAATATAGCCCAGAAATTGATACTTCATACATAATAATTATTATCCTTAATTTTAATGGTGAATACTCAGCTATCTAATATTGTACATTAGAATGTTTTTCATATAATCCTTATTTAACTATTTTTTAAATGGATGCACAATTTGAAATATTCTTCATGCAGGCAAAAGGAGGCAAAGCTGTTAAATAGCTCCCTCCTTTTATAATTATAGTTACTTAGATATAAATTAATATCAAAATATTTGTTAACTCTGTGTTTAATGTGTATTTTGATTTGTTTTTCTATTGTCAGTGAATTGAAAGTCCCAACTGTGGTTGTACTGAATACTTCAAACCAACAGTACTTTTTACTAGATAGACCAATTAAGAATGCCGAAGACATGGTCCAGTTTATTAATAACATTTTGGATGGCACAGTACAAGTAAGTTGTTCCCTTCCATTTCAAGGGGATGATGGGAGGAGGTAGAAGAGAAATGAGTTCTCTTCTGATTCTGAAAGGAAGAGTCGCCATCATCTGGGGTGAGGGAGCAGGCCTCCGTTCCTTGCTTCTCGCACATTATAGACAGAATCGCATTCTCCAAGGCATAGTAGGTTCTTTTGTGGCAGAAGCTGCTCATGGTCGAAATGTCCCTTTGAGAGTTATTTGGAGGGCGTTTGGGGTTGTTACAGTGATTGGGAGGTGCTCTTGGCATTTAGCGTCAGGGCACCCAGGATGCTAAGAGATCTGCAGGTACAGAGATATCCGGACAGTGAACTTTCCTGGCTCTTAGTACCTTTCTGGGCTCCATAGTACAATTGGGGTAAGTTATTCAGATTGGTTTTCTAAGAAAACCTGTGAATAAGACCATAGTTTCTTTAAGAGATAAGGAAATGTATTGAAAATCAGAGCCCCAGTGGAGAGTTCCAAATATACTTTTGGTATACAAATATACCAAAATACTTTATAATCCTGTAAAGTATTTCTCAGAAATAATGAATGGATGGTTTTAACTTTGTCTTTTTTCTATAAATCTTACTGCCGTGTTTTTCACACTGTGGGTTGCAACCCATATTAGAGGGTCATGAAGTCACTTCAGCAGGTTGCGACCAGCACACATCTGAATTCAATAGACTGGAATAAAATACAGAAGAAAAGATGAGACTTACATGCTTTCATGAAGTTTATTATTTTGTGAGACTTTTGTTTCAGCTTTACACAAACTTTATTTGAAAGTTGGCTCGCAGAATAACAAGTATTTCTTCTTTGGAAACACTCAATCATGTAGTGGGAATTTTATATTTGTGAAAATAACACTTGTTGAAATGAAACACACCTGTGTGAGTGAGCCCCTTTCTATCCGTAAGTTAATGAAACCCAACTCAGACTGTTCAACCACAGATCTTACTGGCTCATGTAGCTTGGAAATTTAAGGAATGACCGAGACTTCAGGGATGGCTCAAAGCAAGGATTTGTTGATTTTCGTCAGGATTTTTTCTTTCTCTGCCCTTCAACACTTTTGCCCTTTGAGATTCATTCTCAGGGACTCTCCTTACACCATAGCAAAGATGTCCTGAGGCAACTTTAGTTTAACAACCTCAGCTAAATTCAGAAAGGGGACAGACCTGGACTCGGGGGGGTCAGCCTAGCCAAGCTGCTGGGATTGTGAATAGGGAGGGTGGATTCTTCAGAGGACAATCAGACAGCATCACACGAGAAAGCAGAAGGAAGGTGGGGGGGACGGGAAAAACAGTTAATATTTACTACGTGGCTCTTGCAGGTGCGTTATGAAATCTTTTTTAGTCAACCCTTGACCTGCAACTGTAAGAGTATATGACAGAAAAATGAAGTAATAGTACTGAAATAACAATTTCATTGTTTTTTCCTGTTAAATTTAAGGCCCAAGGAGGTGATAGCATTTTGCAGAGATTGAAAAGAATAGTATTTGATGCCAAATCTACTATAGTGGTAAGTTGTGACAGTTTGTTTAGTGTCATTGATAATTGAGTGTATATGGGTTCTTTATGTCTAACTAAGGTAAAATCTGGATTTCAAAGGATTAGGTAAAAATCCTTTAATTTGCAAGATAAAAACTAGTCCATATTTACATTAAGAAAATATATTCATCGGGTAGAAATTGTTTGGCTAGTTATTCATTTCTGTCTGATTGGTGAGTTAACTGGAATTCAGAATCAGCGAACTTGATAGTGTGGCTTAAAATGTTTTTTAGAGTCTTCTTTCTGCCCTTTTCAGTCCGTGGATCTGAACCCTTCTTGCTTAGAGCTCTAAGAAATCTTTCTTAACGATCCCAGCTTTAACTCTTAATCAGCCTGACAGCAGCTTTCCCAAACTTGTTTGAGCCTTAAATTTAGTTGCAGTTGTCTATTTTGAGCTACTCCATGGGTATTTTTATTCATTATGACCAAAAGCAGTCGTCGAAATAGGGCTAACCTTCTTCTATTGGTGAGAAATAAATTCTAATAATCTTTGACTTATTCCATGCATCCTTCAATTTATCTGCGACCTTTCTTTATTTTCCTGTTGCCACCAACATGGATTGGCCCTTATCCCATTACGTCTGTCTGCTGCTCTGGCTTCCACTCAGTTTCCTCACTTCCTCTTGCCCTGTTTCCAGTCCATTCTGTACACTACTACACAATTAATATTACTAAAATCATCATTTGATCATTTGCCTTCCCTTTTCCAGCAATGCTCATCAGAATACTCTGTCCATCTCAAATACATTCTCCTCCTTAGTCTGAATACAGCGTAAGCTTCGCTGGTGCTTCCTGCTCGTGCTCACACTGTGCCTGAGCATGCCTCATTCTAGCTCATGCTTAAATTTCCGCCTCAAAACACCTTTATTCTGTGAAGCCTTCTTCCAGTATCTCAATCCAAAGTGTCCTTGCTCTCTTCTGAATTTGTCTATATAGTTCTCAAGAATTATGGTCACAACCCATAGGATATATTATAGTTGAAAAACCTATTCAGTAAAATTGCTTTTACTTTTCTGGGAGCTGAGGAGATGGTATATAATAAACTGAGGGAAATTATTAAGTTAATATGGCTTTACTACTAACCAGATAAGTAAAAAATTTTTGAAATATCATGTGAAGAAAATATGTGTACACCTTCTTTATGGTAAATAACCAACCTTCTCAGTGAGCACATTCCTGTAGCCCAGGATACAACTCTAAAGCTCTTGGGCACATAGAAGCCGTCTCAAAGAAACCTTTGTGGATGATGTGAGAAAAAGAAATGTCTTTAGATCAGGTTATAGAATATTTGCTGCTATTAGCTGGTTACACATATACACACACACACACACGCACACACATATAAAATTTCCCTTACAGTGTCTTTAACATGGTAGTCACTGCAGAAATATTGATACTGATTCATTAGAACTGAAAGCAGATTGGATGGCAGCAAGAGGAAGAAATCTGTAGTGGTTTTAGATTTGTTCATGCTTTTTATATCAGAATACATCTGAGGGGAACTGAGTTGTAATTGTCTTTCCACAGTCTATATTCAAGAGCTCTCCACTTATGGGCTGCTTTCTCTTTGGCCTGCCACTGGGTGTCATCAGTATCATGTGCTATGGAATCTACACAGCTGACGCAGATGGAGGGTACATAGAAGAACGATATGAAGTATCCAAAAGTGAAATGGAAAGCCAAGAACTGATAGAAGAGAGCAAAGAACAAGAGGAGCCAAAGAGTGAGGACTCTCCAGTGCCTACAGTGCAAGAACCCAAAGATGTATTAGAAAAGAAGACAGACTGAAACTCACTAATATAAAATATTTGATAGGATTTCCAATTATGAAAGTCTATTTATTGAATTTAGACATTTAATCATGTTCTTTACAGAAGAGAACATGTTATTTGTATTTTGGTAATCTCAACTGCATGGATTAAAGTAGTCCTTCCACAAATGGGGAGATGTTTGGAGCAAAGAGATGAAATGTTTGTGTGAAGCAGACAAACAAAATCAAAACATGCCATCCAAGTTTACCTTATAGATGTTTAATAACAGATCAGTTCTATTTGCATGTTTCTCTATCTGAATATTCTGTGACAAAATTAAGATTCTTGGGCAGAATATTTAAGTTGGTCAGTCAGGTAGAAGATACATGTTTGGTAGAGAAAAATAATACCTCCACTTCCTACCATCCATTCTCCTCATATATTTTGAATATTTATATGGACAAAATTAAGTCTTTAAAATTTAGGCACTTTAAGGAAAACTAATCACTTTTTCCACAGATCAGATTAAGATTATGAGATTAAAAATAATTTGGTTTTGTATAGCATAGCGATTTTATTTTGTTATTATTTTTAAAGGAGAGGAAATGTTACTTTTTAACTTTATACTCAGTTGCATTGTAAAATTTTCATATGGGCCTATATAGTGGGGAAAAAATAGTCTTGTGTTTAATCTCTGCAACATACACAGGATTTGCCTGGAGCGGGGACTTCAGACGGGCCCCAGACACTGTTGGCAGGTGTCTCAGTGGTCGCTGCAGGAAGGGAATGGTCTCTGTTACTCCTGCCCTGCTTTAGCCGGAACAGCCTCCTTTGTTCCTCCATATTTTATATATTGGGATTTCCTCTGAAAATTTCCTGTGATAAGAAAGCTCCTGCTGCTTTTTAAAAACTAATATGTACCATATTTTTATGTTTATTATATGGTAACTTATGATCTGTGTGTGTATGTGTGTATATATATATACACACACCTACATACATATGTATGAAATTTATTGACATACATCTGTTATGTAATATTATGGGCATGTCTGTGTTCATAATGAGTAATAAGTGACGTAATCAGCCTGTCAACAAAATTCATGTCCAGTGATTAAAGAGATCTGCCAGTTAGCTTCTCCATCCCCTCAATTCTTTCAGCCATTTGAGCCAGTGACCTCTCATCTTCTCTCCATAATGAAATAACAAGAATTCTAGCCCAAGTAATGTATAAAGATTGGTATTTTTTTTTAAGTAATAATATGGTATGTTTATTGTAGATTAGCTTATTTTTGAAACCTTCATTTTAGCTAAGTTTAGGATTTTTATTAAGTGACTTTTATTTGGGTGATTATTCATTGAGTTACTGAGTTACCCAGTGTAAAAGATTTTATTAAACATTTAAAAATCTTTAATCACTTTAAAAATATGTAATTCATGGTCCTGATACTGAGTTGTTTAAGGTCTTTGGTCCCCAAGGGCAGCCTTTGGTTATTTCTGGTGCCAAGGTGATCACAACTAAACTGAAACTCTTCTATCTTACGTACTAAGGAGTTATAGTGATGGTTTTATTGTATCCATGTACTCTTTTAATATATAATAAGTACTTTTAATATTTGGCACCCCATTATTATTATTTTAAATAATGAAGCACTATGCAGTGGAATTTCAGGAAATACTAGAATGAAATGTTCTTAAATGGAAATTGGAGATAAATGCTGTTAATGTAACAAGTAGATTCTTCTCCAGAGAGTGATGAGGGATTCTTTTGGAAGATAAATATTAATGTTCCCAGTGGTGAAGCTTGTTGTGCAGCATGAGAAGCTTGGTGAGTACAGATGCTGCACTTGAGTCTCCGTCTAGTGAGGAGGTTAAAACTCGGCTACTGCCAGTGACGGGAGGACATGGGGGTAGACATGTCATGGCTTTTTCCTTCATGTTTATTGCTGTCAGATGTCCATCATCTGCATGTTTTTGTCTTCTGTCAAGCATGGCCTATAAATGAAAGACCCGAAGAGGGGAAGAAAAAGAAAAAGAGTAAAACTCAGTATGTATCCACAAAGTCCAGTGATGTTCGTATTCTGAGATTTTCTTGTCTGTAAACTAATGCCTAGGTCTCTGTTACCTTTTTCACAGCTCTGTACTGTTGCCCCATATTCTATTTGAGTTTTCAATGGAAAACAAAATGTGTAGATGGTTTAAGTGAATAATTTTATTTCTTCCTTTTTGTATTAAAATTTTGCTTTTTACTTGTCTCTACTTTAGGATATTGTCAGACTCCTCACAAAACGTATTTAAAATTTTTGCTCACTAGTATGCTTTTCCCTTCAGTGTGATATCAGACCTCACTAGGAATGCTGTTTTCATTTCAGGGAAAGTTACTTCAGAATAAAGGGAGGTTTCTTAATGAATCTAATAGAAGAACATCAATATCATCCTAATTTAGTGATGAATCTTACTATGATCACATATCAATAGGGGAGGATTGAGTTGGAATTTTAGTGAGTTGGAATTTTGCCTTCTCTTTCAGTTGTGATAAAGTTCTGTTTCTAACTACTAAAATTCAAAGTCCTAGATGCTTGCTGTTGCTGAATCTGGTGCTCAGACAATATTTAAAGATATTTTAGAGAAAGTACATTTTTATTAAGCTATGCGCACTCCATTATAGCTTGCAATCCTTTTTGTTTGTTTCATTGTGTACATTAATATTTCTGTAGCTACTGCTGTCTGAAACTTATTTGAGGTGGATTAGACCTGGAATTTTTGTTTTCTTCACACATAATGCTTGCTGGTATTTGATTTAGAAATAACATTAAGAGCCAAATGTCTAGAGGTTGAAGGAAGGGTCTATATGAGTAGTTAAACAATTAGCTATATTTTTTTTGTTTAGGGGTTTTTTGTTGTTGATGTTTCTTGTGTTTTGTTTCAGGGGCTTTTTTGGTTTGGGTTTTGCAAAATAATTTAAATAGTTTTCATGATTGATTCATATGATATGGAGGTAGGTTAGGAAAAATCACTCAGCTATTATGCAAAAATTGTTCAAATCAGTGTGGGGTGTTAAGATTATCAATTAATTGGTGGGATTAGGTTTGCCATTTTATTTTTATAAATATATATTTTTTCTGAAAGTGAGTCCAAGAGTGGGCAAAAAATAATTTTCTACATTGGACTAATCTATAAAGGTTTTTGAAAGTCTGTGTTACTAACTTGTTGAATTCATGATACCTTGCCTTAAGGCACCAATTGTAAACCTTTGGTTTTCTAAAATAAATTAATTGAAAGCATATGTAATTATTTTTACTATTTATCTTTTGGTTGTTTGCGCCGTGAATAGTTCTCTGTGCAGGCAAAGAGGAAGGCTAAGACTCATCTTCCACAAAGTGTTTTTTCATTTTATTGTAAGTTATTCATAGTTATAGAAACATAGAATTTTAGAGTTTAAACAGACTTAAGAGAGATAAGATTGTAATCTAATCCTTTTATATTATAAATGGAGAACCTGAGATTTATAAGTTTGATATATTTTATATTTGTAAAACCTGATCATTTTTAAATATTAATTATAGAGTTTAAAGTTAGAATAATTGGATTGAGTCCTTGATCAACTGCTAAATTGTGATCTTGGACACAGCCACTCTTCACTGTCATTGTCACTAAAATGGGAATCTAAAGCTTCAAGATTTCCTTTTTTAGAATAGCATCAAATGGGAAGAGTATGTTATGAAAAAACAAAAATTTAAACAAATGTTAATTTTTAAATAATTTATATTTCATACTTTTTACTCTGGCACAGAAATAACAGCCAAAAAATTGGTCCCACACGACGTGTGAATGTATACAGACTAACTGGCTAGAATGGGCCTCTGCTGATAGGAGTGACAACGTGCGTCAGCTCTGTATGAATTCCCTGGGAGTAGGATGGGCTCCCTGTCCCTGCTGAGCGGCTGTATCACACTGTGGGTGGGGAGGCCCTGGTGTCACGCTGCCTGGGTTCCAGTCCTTGCTCCATCCCTCACCTGTGTAAGGTCAGTGAGCCTCTTAACCTCTCTGCTTCTGCGTTGTCTGTAATTGGAGGATGATGGCATCTGTCTCATTGGATTATGAAGAGTAAATGAGTTGCATGTGAGGCATATTAAGAACATGAATGGCACATAGTAATGGCTCAAAAATTATAACATTTCTTTATCCAATTTAATTTATTTCTCTTCTCACTTCATTTAGCATTTATATCATTGTTTACCACAGAGAAAAGCCAAGGCATTAGGAATGTGAAATCCTAATATGTTTAAATTTGCTTAGCTACTTATTGCAATTTAAGTTCTAACATTTTGGATAGAAATGAAAAAGGTATTTTTTTAACATTGAAATTACGCTTAATTACAAATATTTAGGTTCACAAACATCTCTGAAAATACTTTGGATTTTGTGCTTTTAGTGAAAATGAATAAGCGTAAGAGGATATATGTATCCAGTAAGATTATTTGTGTGTGTGAATAGTTTAGATAGATGTAAATATGATTTAGACACAGATTTAGAATACTAATGGATGTTGAATATAGATAAGAAAATTATTTGATTTTCCTGTCTGCCTTCCTGGCACTAGTTGTAAGCCCTCAACTTTTCTCTAAGCCCAAACAACTAGTGAAAAAGTGGCAATTATTTTCTTGCAGTTTATTCTTTCAACAATTATTTATTAAAGTCTTCTATGTACTAAGGATACAGCAGTAAGAAGCAGTCATGGCCCCAGTCCTCATGGAGTTTTAGGCTACTGTAACTGATACTGAGTGTTTACTTAAAATGCTCTATTGCAAGTCTTCTACTTTTTCTTAGTTTCCTTGCTGATATATCTATTGTTCAACATAAAATAATTGCTCTTAGATCTTTGGGATCTTTGGGACTCGTAGAGTAAGAGACCAGAACAAGACAGAAGAACACATCACTTTCTTCAAATATATGAAGGGATTGGATTTCCTCAGCGTGTCTGCAGCTCTGACAGTACTGTTGGTTGGGTAACAGGGAATTGGAATGCAGATCAAGGTAAGGGAACACTCAAGGAAAGAAATCTCCAGAGATAGAATGGGTCAGAGTTCCCACATTGACAATGTTTAAACATAGGCCAGACAGCCCTTTGGTATTAAGTTTTCTTCTGAGACCGGAATTCTGTGAGGCCACAAATGTAAGCTCTAAAGCCACCCTCTCTCCCCATATTTACGCCAGTCTCTTCTCTTTCCAACAAAAAATCCAGAAGAAAATTTGGCCAGCTTTTATATATTAAATTTTATTTGGGTGGGTGAAGCAGTCAAGTGAAACTGCAGAATAGATAGTAGAAACCGAGGATAGTTTTCCACTCATTGAAATTTTCCCATGAATCTTGGCGTCACTGTCTTCATTGCTATGTTCACCGATGGATTTATGTAATAGTGGTTTTCTTCTCTCAAAATTGTTTGATATACTGCAGTTTCTGAACATACGTTTGATGCTATCACTAGAAATTCTATACCAAACAGTAAGAACGCAGTCAAAAATACAGTAAATGATTAGATTGTAATGACTGGTACAATGACATTTAATATTTTGAGGTTGTACACACAATAATCTGTGTAACTAGTTAATCTGTGTTAAAGTCCGTTGTATTCTTTTTATTCTTAAACTGTTAAGGGAACTTTATA